CTGAATGGAGCTCAGATTTTTGAAACAAAAATTACAATGATTACAGGAATCAAAACTTGTTGTAATAATACAGCATCATTAAGACTAATTTAAAGAAAACTTTATATTTGCAGTGATAGATTATTGTTTTTAATCAGATGCTTAAATTGTAGTAGTGTGACATCTTCCATTGGGATTTCCATAAATCCATCCATGTGTACACATGAAAAAGGAATGGATAGTGAAGGATCTAAGCGTGTTTGTGCTTCTGGATGTGGAATAAGTCACTCTATGGTAATCTTAAGAGTGGACCTTGGAGAAAAATTGAACATAGAAGAAATGGATTAAAAAGGTGAAAAGTAAAATAACTGCAGAAACTACAAGTGCAGTATGAAGATAAATTTCCTCAGAAAATGGATGAAAAGTGCAAATAAGGAAGGAATGCACAAGCGCTAATAAGAACTGAATGAAAAAATTATGAATTATGAGTTTGAGTGCAACAGAAATTTGAATTGCTACAGCAATGAGAAGGATGAAAAAGGATGCTTAGCGATCTAATGGTAAAGACACTATGGCTGAGAATACATATGAGCCATTGTAGAATGTTTATGTGTAGAAAATATTGCAAAGAATGTACTTCAGGAGAGCAAGAAACAGGCGAGTTTAAAATACATAAGATCACAGTTTAGTTATCAATTAAATAGAGCTTTGGAAGTAGATGATAATGACTAAAAGAAGTTTCCAATAGAATGAATGGAATCAAAATTATCTGGAATGGAATCAAATAATCTTTCTTCTTTTGCTTTCTGAGGTAATAGATATCTTTAGTAATAAATAATTACAGATAGTCCTTGGGTTACAATGGCAATTGAGATAGGACTTCATGTTGCTAAGCAGTTGGTCATAGAGCTCAGCATCATGAACATCAATGGTGGCAATCTTAACAGTCCCAGTTGCTATCATAAAGTGAGGATTGGGTGGGTTATTAAGAGAGGACCACACGATTTCCAAGTTCCTGCTGGCTTCCCCATTGTGGGAAATCAACAGGAAACATTGAAAATTGTGACCACATGATTGTAACCTGCCACAATGTCATATTCACGAGTAAAGCACTGAGTGCCTGAATAATCACAGGGACACTGAGATTGCTGGAATTCTGGGGATCAGTCCTAAGTCTCCATCATTCAACATTGTCCCAAGTTTGAATGGTCACTGAATGTGTGGCCATAACTCAAGGACCACTATGCTTTGTTGAAACAGAATATAAATGGTGGCTGTCTAGACCAGCATTTGGGCACCAGGACAATTAACTCCCATTTTGTGGGTACATCTTTGTGGTGATCCATGAGGGTTTTTTCTTCTTTTTTCCCCTGATATTGATTAAATGGATATAAACAACTCAGACTGTTATGGAATTTAGCAACGTAGTAAATAAATGAATTGTATAAACAGTCACCTATATGTCGAACATAATTCAATGGATTAACTCTAGGTTTCTTCAGAAGATAGCTATCAGAAGATGTTATCTGTCTCATAGGTGGAAAAACCCACACTTGAGAAATAGACTATTTTGATTTTTCAAAATAACTTGAGTATGCTATGAGCCTGAGGCTGATAAAGGTTTTGTTTTTGGAAAGTAATTGTAGAAAAAAGCCCACCTCAATCCTTTGATAAGAATTGAATCTTATCCTCTAAATCCAAGTTACTTATGGGTGAGAAGATTAAATCCTTAATGCAACAAATACCTTGGTAATTATCAGTATAAATTTAAAGAATGAATAAGTGAGTTCAACAAACCATGGCTTAGTCTATTAACTCAACTATAGGAGCTCAAAAGTTATTATGAAGGACAAGGTCTTTGTGAGGGAAGGGTATTATCATACTTGGAGAAGCCCATTCAAAACTATGATTCAATAATTCAAATGATCAGATAGATCTATACCAGCCCACCCCTCAACCTTTTGGGCACCAGGACCAGTTCCATGGAGAGAGGTTTTTCTGTGGACTAGAGGGGATGGCTTCATGTGTTGCCTGCATCCCAGTTGGGACTTTGCTTGGTTGCACGGCCTGGTTTCTGGCATGCCGCAACCCAGTGCTGGTCCATGGCCCCGGGGTTGGGGACCCCTGACCTGTGCTATAAGATTAAGGCACTACTATCAATTAAAATGTAATTTCTAAGCGCTATGACAGTATTTGAGATTTTCTTACACACATCAACCACTAGGGCATTAAACCAGCAGAAGAGGCTATAAGAGTCACTAGCACCAATAGGTATCTGTGTAATGTAATGTATGAATGACCCTGGGGAAAGGCGGCAAGAGATGCTACATAGGAAACAATCAGCAAAGACAGGTAGTGGACTCCAATGACTTAATGGTCAGAGAATGAAATTTATAAGGACCCACCATATTGGATCAAGCAATTAAAAGTGGCAGTAGGGAGTCTGTATCTTCAGACTTGCAAGATTCTGTTAATGTTGCTTTACAACTAAGTAGAATTAGTTCATCCACTCCTGTTCCCTCCCTGTTTACCTGGGAGAGTTGACTTTGTGTTCGTGTTTATTTCTCATTATTTTATATTTATTATTCTGTGATTGAGGTTTAAAATGTATTATAGTCTTATGTTATCTTCATATCTATAGACTGTCTAGAGTCAATAAGGACCAAGGTGCAGGTTATTCATTTATTTGTATCCTTTTATTGTTCTTACAAATAACTCCAGGTGGCAAACATAAACTAATCCTATTTTGCCCACAACTCTGTGAATGCATTGGGTTGAAAGAGTGATTGGTTCAAAAATCATCTAGTTGGCTTTCATGGCTAAGGTGAGACTTGAACTCACGGTCTCTTGCTTTCTAGCCTGGTGCCTTAACCAAACTGGAATAAGGACAACTAAAGAAAGAAGAAAGAAAGGGAACACAAATGTTATTATTTTGCCTTCATTCTTTAAGAATCATCCAGGATTCTGATGAATATGAGGCAGGGGAGAACAAGGTGAAGTTAATTGTGATTGCAGAAAGGTATCTTTGATGGTCCACAACTTGTCTCAAAACAGTGGTTAATAGCTTTGATTAAGCCATGGTTTAACCTTGCTCTGGTGACTACATAGACATATCTACATTTGATTCTCTTGGCAAAAATACAGAAGCGGTTTACTACTGTTTTCTTCCAGATCTTTCTTTTTCAACTGCCCAGTCTAGACTACAAGTCTGGAATTTTATAGTTTTTCTACCTCTAACATGCTTAGCCTTTTAAACAGCAGCCAAGACAAGGGGGTTTGCACATTATAAAAAGGATTATTTCTCTGTGTATTTCCTCCCCCCACCCCCCAAGAATTTGCAGCATATACATGTGGGTGGAAAAACAACTTGGTTGCCAAGATTCAAATTCCTCTGTCCTTAACATATTCTCAGTAGATAGCATGAAAACTCCATCTCAGATGTTAGTGGGTTGCTATCAGTCAAAGACGCCATGGGCTGAATAGAAAAACAGCCTGACCTGGATTACAGTAGCTCCCTTTGTTACTCTTAGGATTGACAATGATGCCATATGGACAGTTGAAAGGGTTATAAATACTTACTTGAGCTCCATTCTGTTTAGTATAGAAAGTTAAAATCTATTTGCTCTCCGATAAGAATTTAGTAAAATATATTTCTTACGCTATCATGCTGAATTTCTCATCTTTAAAGCTGTCATACACGATTCACTGGTATATGAAAAAGGTTCGATATTACCTATCAATAACTGTCTGAAGGAATGCTTTAAAATATAGCTAAATGAATCATTTCCATCTTATCCTGGGAATAAGCACAAACTTCTGATGTTTTCATGGCATGTTCTTGAGGGAAAAATGGCAGGATGGCACTGCGGAGGAAGTGTTTTGGATATTAACACAGGATGTACAGTGCTGTGTTGACAGGCGAAGAGAAACTCAGTCTGTTCATGTTTCATTGTACATGTAGAATATGTTAAAGACACCTGTGTGGTTCAGAGCTGCATGTACTAAGTTGATAAAGAGACTCTGTGAGGAAAGAAATTGGCATCACACTCCCAGTGGAAAAACCTGAGTTTACCTAAACTTTTTGCAATGATGTTGTGCATTCCTTCCCATAATGATGCATTCCAGAAACAGTGTGGACAAAATCAATTCGCCAAATCAACCTGATGTAATGATTATAGGATTGGGTTCACTGCCACTGCCAGCTACTAAAACCATTCATTCACTAAACTCGCACTTGCCTATATATGCTATCTCATAAGATTTTTGTAAGGATAAAAAGTGGGTATGTGTAGTTTGGGTTTGCACGGGAAGAATTGGCAGGATAGGAATAATGCACGAATGTAAATACAAAGACCATTTTCAGACGAGCCACGAATGATGAAGTTAACGTTTCTCTCTAGTCGTGTTTTTTTAATCTTAAACATTTAAGATATCGGTACTTCAACTCCCAGAATTGCCCAGCCAACAATTAAACACATTACCAACATCCAACACCTTTAAGTTACTGAGGTTGAAAAACAATGTTCTTGTTTATGCCCGTGCGCTGTTTTTTTTTTTTTTTGCAACGGCTTGGAATTAATTTCTCACGATGCTTGTCTAATTTGTCCTCCTGGATTTTTCCACATCCTCCCATTCAAGTTATTAAACATACTTCTGGCTTTCTCGAGATCGGCCAAACCTGCAGCTATTTTAGTACATTTCAGCCCGTAAAAAAGGCACAGTCGCACACGGAACAAGCGGCTTCTTCCCGGAGATGCCTCCGCCTTTTAGCTCGTGGGGAAACGAACCGGCGTTAACGTGCAAACCTTCTACCGCAGCACCAACCGAGAGGAGCCGCTGCTACAGCAGCTAAGCCCTCCCCAGTCCCCACCCACCCCCCATTCCCCCTTTCCAGTCCTCCCAGAAATTAAAGCGACATTATCCCGGACGGACTCTCTCTCGCGCGCGCACCAAACAGGACGCTATGGCGTCACTTCTCCGGCGCCCGCGCGCCAGCTGGCGAGGGCGGGGCCTGCCTGGGCCCTTGCTGCTTGTCGGTTGGCCTCTACCTGCTGGCTTTGGTTTCGCGTGAGGAGGGGTGGGTGGGAGAAAGGGGCGTTCGTTGGTACGCCTCCTCCTCCTGCTGCGGTGGCCCGTTCGGAGGCGGTTGGTGGATTACGGCGAGCTCAGGCGCGGTTTCCTGAAGGGACATCCAAAGCGGAGCGCGCCTTTCGCGCAAGCTACTTGAACCGTCAGGTACGTTGGGCCGAGGAGCATCTCTCGGCGGGCTTCGTTTCGCTCTTCCACCCTCCAGCAGCGGCCCCGAAGCATTGTATTTCCATCCCCCATGCCCCGCCGCCGTCCTCTGTTGTCTTCGCATCTCCCGGCGGTCCTTCCCTGCCCGCCTGCCTCAGGGTCTGCGGAAAGGGGAGATAACCTCCGTTTGTGTACACCTGGCATTCGTGCAGGGAAAGGACAGCCGCCTCTGTTTTCGCGGGGCCCTGTGAAGTTGACTTGAGATAAGCGGGTTGGATTCTCGCCCGTCCCTCTGGATGTGATGCAAACATCTACTTATAATCGGAACTTAAAACAGAGCTCGTTACTTGAAGAACTTTTTTTTTTAATTCGCTTGATCTTACCTTGTGATCAATTTTTTTTTAATTTTTTTTATTTATTTGATTTGTCAATCGCTTACAAGATAACAGGTATAAGTATAAACATAATTATGAATACATGAAATGGATATGAATAAGAAAAATAAAAGAAACAATAGGACAGGGATGGTAGGCATGTTATGCACGCCCCCTATAGACCTCTTAGGAAAGGGGTGAGGTCAATAGTAGACAGTCTAAGGTTAAAGTTTTTGGGGTTTGGGGAAGAAACCACAGAGTCAGGTAGAGAATTCCAGACATTGACCACTCTGTTGCTGAAGTCGTATTTCCTGCAATCAAGTTTGGTGCGGTTTACCTTGAGTTTGTATCTATTGTGTGTTCTTGTATTGTTATGATTGAAGCTGAAGTATTCATTGACTTCAATTTAATTGTGGGCTTGTGATAAACAAGCAAGTGTTTTTTGTTACTACAGTTGCACAAGGGCGTGGGGCAAAGCAGCAGACTTCAAGGAAAGGTAGCTAGATGCGGAGCCGAGGATTGCAGCAGGCAGATTCATCTTAATTTGAACTTGGAAGTTATGAAAATAAAGGCCAAAGGTGCAGTGGCTGGAATTTTACAACATTACAGAAGTTGCCTCATCAGCGTCATCCAGGTCGTGGATGTCCTGAAGGTGCTTTTTCAAGAGGCAACTGGACTTTCTGGCTTTTCTTTGAAGACCTTTCACTTCTCATCCAAGAAGCTTCTTCAGCTCTGTCTGGATGGTGGGGAATGGAAGGATTTATACTCCTTACAGACAGCTGGACATTTGCATTCTTTTAGTGAAAAAATAATGCATCCTGTTGCTTTCACTAAAAGAATGCAAATTCCTATTGAAGAAGCTTCTTTGATGAGAAGCGAAACGTCTTCAAGGAAAAGCCAGAAAGTCCAGTTGCCTCTTGAAAAAGCACCTTTGCCTCTTCAGCCTAAGAAAAGACAAAACAGAATGAAGGACTTTCAAGATTGCGGATGCAAAGCAGACATGGTAGCCAGTTGTTTGAGGCTATATTGCGGTTTCTCAACAGCATGCCTTAAAAAAAAGTGGAGCAAGTGACTGGTTGTCTAATGAGTGGTATCCAATTGAACCTATAAATAAATAAGATTACAATTTTCAAAGACAGATTGAAATTTGGAGTGAAAATATGACAAAAAGTTTTAAAAGTTAGCAAGGATTGGAGGCTCTAGCAATACACATTTATATATTCCGTAATTGTTCCCTCATCTTTAGGAAAAAACTTTTTAATTTTATAAATGATATTACACAAATGACTAAGAAAATATAAGAATTGGAACACTAAGAAACTACCATTCTGTGATCCCTTAAACATGGCTCCTTAAACATTTAGTCTCAAAAAATATCAAATGATAATTATGTCTGAAAGTGACAAAATTTAGTGTTTTTTGATCCAGTAAAGGCAAAGACAGAAAAATTGTCTAGATTTTGGTATTATTTTAAATTCTTGGCTATATTTTCTTACTACTTCAAATACGGACACACACACACACACACAAAATTAATGATCATATTGCTAGAATTGGTTATGGAGTTAAGATTTTGGCTGGAAAACATAAATTCCAATAAGCACATGTAATCCATCCAAAAGATTTTTAATGTATTGCCTTTGAGAATCTACTTCCATGTTTTCTGAAGCAGTTACCTAGAGACCATAAAATATATTCATTCTGATGTACTTCTGAAAGTAAGGTAACAAAGTAAGACCTACTTTGAACACCAATTTTTCTGAATTCTCTGAAAAGACTAGCTTTTTCACAGATGGGAAGTTCTGATGCTGAACCCCAAAATGAACAAGACTGGAGGGGGCCAAGGTTTATTGCTAGAAGGTATATCTAAAATAAATCTTTGGCCAATGTTCCAGATTCTTATTAAATCAAAATATAATGCTCCATTCAAGAACCTAAGTTCACTGGTATTTATCTGTGTTACAGCGTTCAGCAATAGTGAAATATCAAAATGAGTCGCCGTCGGAAGCATGCTCCTCCCATGAGGATGAATGAAGAGAAAAAGAAGCAACTCTGCTGGAATATGCATGATGACCAGAAAAATGACATGATAGATGTAGATGTCATGGATGAAGACCATCCTGTTGCTGGTACAAGTTCATCTTCTGCTGTGCATATTGTGATAAATGATGATAGTGAGGATGAAGATTTGACTCACAGAGAAAAGAACCCCAAATCCCCAAATTTCTCAACAGTTGTAGATGAAACAGAAGATTCTTGTCATCCATTGCCATCTATAGCCATACAGCTAAATATTTTGATACTTCCTTATCAGCCTGATCCTCCCTGGAAAACCTTGCTTGGAGAATTTACACTTCAGCTTCTTCCTGAACAACATTTAAGTGACAATATTCAGAAAAAAGGGCTGACTTTGATGACAGCTGAATTTAGTGATCATCTGCATCTTCTTGTCCATGCAAATGATATTATAAAGGTGGACAAAGGGGAAGAATCATTACAGAGTACTTATGAACTAGATATTTTAGTTGAATCATCTTTAAATAATAAAATTATGGAAAATTTAATGTGGCTGCAGAAGAAAAAAATAATTATACTGCATCAAAGATCTGGAGATACTCGTTCTGTAAAGGTAGTCAATTTATATAATTAATAGAACATATCTACTGCTGAATATACTTGAAATTAACAATATGTAGAAAAGTGCCTGAATAGAATATTGTAACTAATGTCTTTTATCTGTACATGGAAAATATGACAGCATCAAAGACAGGAATTTTTCCTTCAATTCAGTTTATTCTATATGCAAAATAGATTTTACTAGATTTTATTTTTTTTCAGGGCTTATTAACTAGCATCTCTGAATAAAATGTTAATTATGCTACCTAAAGTAATGAAAAGTTTTGCCCCAGCATATCTTAAGAGAGTATAGTTTTCATATGTTTTAATTTTTCTGTTGGGATGTGCAAATAAAACTTCCCTGAGAAAGTTTAAAGCTGCTGTTCAGATAGTTCTGTAACTTATTATCCAGACTATAACTTGCCTATTTCTTTAAACCTGAGGAATTATTTACCTGTAAATTGGATTTTAACTGGAATCTTTACTAAATAAATTAAATAATGTGTGTTTGTGTGTATAGCATGAAATAACCAAAGGTAAATCACAAATATAAACTAATTAAAAAGGAAATGCTTTTGATATAGCTATATTGTTATAAACAATTCTTTTACCAAATCATTAACATTTTTAATTTAGCAAATTTTATTATGGGGGTATTTTTTTTAAAAAAGTTATAAACTGAACAAACCAAATTTTATCCATAAATCAATTATTGGCTCTTCTAATGTTTTCTGTAATTTCAGTTTAACTCCCTCAATCCCACTACTTCATTTCACTGATTCTGTGAAACAGCTTGTTTATTTTTTCTGCTCTGCTGGTTTAAATAGCACCTATAGAGTTTATTATGTCATGGAAAAGGAAATGCAAGTAATTGATTATATTATTAATTACATTATGGTTCAGTGTTTTATGAATACATACCAATAACTGTTTGGTTATTTAGTTATGAATCTCCTTCACTAAATGTATTTATTTAGCCTTTAGTTATCTTCATCCAGGATTCTCAAGACCAGGGCTGTCAAACTCCTGGCCTGTGGGCCAGATGCGTCATGTGGGCTATGCCCATGCCCGGATTAGTGAAGGGGGAAAAAGTCCCAATACATCACGTGACGTCGCTGTGATGCCGCAAGTTTGACACCCCTGCTCAAGATCATTTTCCTTGTTAATAGAATGTGCCCAGCTTTCTTTTCCCTTGTAGCTAATAATTGGAGTATAGTTCCTTGCGAATCACAAATAGTAGTTATGATTTCAATTTTTAAGAAAATATTAAAATATAACTAATAAATGAGAATATTTGTAGCTCAGGGTTGACATGATGGGTCCTTGGTGTTGCTTGTTTTCTTGCAGATGTTTCATTACCCAAACTATGTAACATCAGCAGTGCTAGTAAGGAGTGCAGTTTGCTCTCGGCTTTATATTCTGCTTGCCTACCAATTTTGGTGGGAGTGGTCTTAGAGATTCTTTGCTTAGTTCAAGAAACTGCCAAAGAAGCCAACAGCAAACAGCCCAAAGAATCTGTAAGTCTACCCCCACCAACACTGACAGGTAAGCCACTAGAATATAACCCAACAGCAAACTGCACTCCTTAGTAGCATTGTTGATGTTACCTAGTTTGGGTAATGAAACTTCTGCAAGAAAACAAATCAGCTCAGAGAGCACCAAGAACCCCTCATATCATTATAACTTGATCTGTTAAATTATTTTCACTATTTTTAATGAACCGTTGTCTAACCTGATATCCCTTTCATTATGAAATATGTTAGTCCTCATATTCCAACCAGTCTTGATTAATTGTTTTAAGAATTGGTTCTGTATATTTGAGGAAAATTAGATTGGGAAAGGCAGCTTTAATATTCTCACTATGCTTTCATTTGTTGTTATTTTTATTCTACTTTGCTTATTTCCTAGTTACATTAAATTACTTTTCCACATTTTATTGTATACACTATAGTTTGTCTAAACTTTTCTGTCAACATTTAATTCACAGGTTGGAATATATCTTCTTGAACTTGGCATAAGTAAGTTAGAATTCCTTAGTGATGGTGGGGGAAGAATAAGAAAGGCCAATCAACTCCTTCAGAAACTGATGGAAAAATTTTATCACTTTGTAATTCCAGGTAATCATATTTTTCAGACCAGATTCTTAAAAATGTGTTTATGAATGACATCACTTAATTGTGAATTCTGGCATAATCTGTGCCATAGTTTGCCAGTTTTCTCTATGTTATGTTAGGTTTTGGCCATTTACTTCATTTTAAGAATGGCAGCCTTTGGTCAATTCTTCAATATAAATTTAGCATAGGTTGGTTGCTAGAAAGATGCTTGCCTTTCTGCCCCCAAAATCAGTACGCAAACAAAGATTCTCTAATTTAAGCCTATTCACTTTATTGTACACTTTTTAAAAACAAGTACAAGTTCAATATATTAACTTTCTCAGTGGACAGCAGAAGAGCAAGAATCTGGTCTGCACCTTCTGCCCACCAAAAAGCCATATTACCACTTTTCCAACCCCCCCCCCCCCCATCTCATTAACATTTCAGTCAAGATGCTGCCAAATGCATTCCCAGACACACTTAGTTCTCTTGACTTAGTTTTAGGATTTGTGGGGAAAACAGGTAAAATTTTAGGTCATATTTATAGAGAAATATTGAAAATTCAATATTCAAATGGGTTCACAAACTGAAACGCCACCATATATTTCTTGTAGCCAATTCACAACATTATTGTTTCATCAGACATTTGTGTATAGATTTGTATTTTAGGTGTTGTTTTCTTATCCCTCTTTGAAAGCTTGGAAGCATTGTTGCACTAAATTATTATGTTTTTAATACTCAGATACTTTTTTTCAACTTTTTATTTCTTATGTACTTTAAAAGTATTTATAATGTTACTAATAGTCAATAGCATTGCACATTTTTAGACATTCTGGAAGAAGATGAGGAATCTGATAGAGATATAGAACGGCAAAATATTGAAGAGCTGTATGACTATGTGAGGCATGTACACCAAAAAGAGTTACATTTTTTAAAGGAAAATGTACAACATTCTGCATTGATTCCTGTTCTCAGGCCATATCAAAGTGAGGCTGTAAATTGGATGCTGCAACGTGAAAATTTTAGAAATATACCTACCAATGGTAAGTATCTCAAAATAGTAACATGAGTACATATATATTGAACATGTTAATAGTAGAATACATGATCATGTACTATGAGGAGCTTGCTAGGTCCTTCTTTTGGCTAATGTTGCTTAACATCTTTAAAATCTATAGAACTATTAGGAAATACAGTGGTCAGTTTGCATAGTACATCAGCAGAAAGGTCAACGTATAAACTGTTGTGTATCAGATAAGCAGTCCTTAAACATTGCAGCAATAGTGACATTCTAATCTATAATTTGTTTCTTAAAAAAATGACCCTCCCTCCCCCTCATTAAACCCTCTATTTAAGAATAGCCACTCAGAGAGATCCCAAATAGTTTCAGAAACAGACATTGTAAGAAGAGATTGCATGGAATGCTTTTATATTGTGGGGAGGGACTGCAGTTAGTCAGCACAAAGTTGCAAGCTGCGGTAATGTGACGTGTGTAACATCCAATGGTGAATCACTTGATCACAGCTGGAACTGACGTCAGTATGGTTTCACTTTACAACATTTTGCTTAGCCATTGAGTTGCTGGTCCAATTTTAGTCAGTAATTGATGACTACCTGTATTTTTATATCAAGTACTAATTTAGTTAAAATGGTTCCATATAATGAGGTTCCATATAAGTTCTTCCTCAGAACTTCAATTTGTACTTTAAGGAGATGTGAAATTCAATGAATCTTATTGTCTTGTTCTTTTCTTTCATCAGATAATGCTCTCCACTACTTATGGAGAGAATTTATTACTCTAGATGGGTTGAAGCTGTACTATAATCCTTTTACTGGCTGGTAAGAATGGATTGATTATGTTCAAAATCAATATTATGTATTCATAATCAATATTATGTTCAAAAGCAGAATGTTGAAACAATTGAGTGTAGCTGATAATGTATTCAGAATTCTAAATATTTAATTCAATAGGTCGGTTGAATTCATAACAAAAATCCATTTTTTTTGTTTTCAGTGTAATCCGTGATCGACCTGTTGCTGGGCCTCGGTGGCCTGGAGGAATATTAGCAGATGAGATGGGCCTTGGAAAAACAGTAGAAGTCTTGGCTCTTATTTTGTCACACACTCGTAAGGATGTCAGACAGGATGCTCTGATGTTACCAGAGGTGAGAAATCTGCATTGTGGGTGGATAAAAACTATTCCAATAATCAAATCCTACCCAGTTCATTGCTTGCAATTGGAACTTATGTTTGGAATATGTAAGCAATTATTTCTCCTAAATCTGTTGCCTTTGAAGTTTATAAAACAATTTTCTGTGACCCTTTTATTTTTCTTTTATAATTTGTGTCAAGAGAAAAGATTCAGTTGTGAATGTAATATGCTAGAAAAACTGGAATGAAGTAGAAAATCATATCACAACATAATTCTACAGGATTAATAACAATCAATCTTCATTCTTAAACATTATTTTCCCCCTTCCCAATCCATAATTTAACATTGTTTTCCATTTCCAATTCATCTATCCTCTTAAGAGCACCACATAGTCTGCTTGCATGTTCATTTCTTTTTAGTCTACTTCAAACATTGATACTTTACTACCCACTGAGCTTTTCACTGTCTACCACAGTGTTTGGTCATCTTTTCTGTTTTTTGTTCCTGGAACACCATACAATGTGACACACTGGCCCAGGCATTTAAAACATTCTGCAGTATCTCAAAATTCTGGTGATTTAAAAATTGCTTTGTTTATGGGCTTTAGCATTTATTCTGGAGTTTGTCAGTTCCTGAATTAGAAACATATTTGTTCATAAATTCAGCAGGCATAATTGTTTATAACATTATTTACATAATGGAATCCAAATATGGTTTTCATTCTCTATTATGCATTCTCTACTCTGTTTTGTGACCTGTTCGTTAAGCAGTTAATGAACCATATAAATATCCATCTGGTTGTTTCAGGATCACATTCCAGTCTAAGTCTTGAATGCTAAAAGTATTAATTTAATTGATTAATTACTAGTAATTATTACTAGTAATAATTTAATAGGACATTTTGGGGATGGTTTCATTGGTAGCATATTGGAAACCTCACTTTTCTGTATAACAAGTGAGAGAAGGCATACTAGTTTTATGAAGAAATTTGTTCAAAATCAGTCTGCTCTATTTCATTATGCTATTACATAACTTTGGTGCAGCTATATTGTAATAATTTGTCTGATTCTTTTTATATTGAAAATATAAAGCAATAATAATATTTCTTTAGCCTTGGAGAAAACCTAATCCCAACTAAAACTTTTTAAATTATTGTGTTAAAAAATCATGTTAACTAGAATATGATAATCCTATTATAAAAATTTTCCTGTGTTCTTGTATTATTCACAACACAGTTCAGTTAGAAAGTGTTGCAAAATGGTTATCAATCTGCAGAATTTGAAGCTTGCTAATTTGACCAATTTATAGATATAACTTTACCAATAGCCATTGGCTATGAAGAGAAGAGAAAGGATGTGTTCCTGGAAAATACAGGGCAGAACTTTTTGTATGGGATAACTTTTTATATGTATATAGTATTTGCCATGTAACTCTCTTCTAGAGTGTCCGTGGTGTATCTTATACATGCATAAAATGACCGACAACCTTTTTCACATAAGCACAGTATGCTTTTTCACAGGCTTCTTATTTATGGTTCAGTTGAAACAGAATCTCTTGAATAAACAAGGCCCACCTGTATATTTAAATTGGTGAAAAGATTAATATTTCTAAGTATTGCTTTAAGCAATAATGCTTAATTTTTACAATTTCCTTTTCCAGTCTTAACTCTACAGTGTTAATAAATTGTTATTGATCGACATTGAATTTTTATAACAATGTTTAAGTTTTCACCTAAATTCTTACACGCTTTGATAAAACTAGTGGACCAGTAATTAAATGTACATTTTATTTTTGCCATGCCTAGCATTTGTTAATTATTAGGTAGACTGTGATATAATGATGTTAAAATTATATTTCAGGGGTTTTTAGTAAACTTCTTTGTTCCACCACAACCTGCTGAAGGAAGTAAAAATAAAAACATAATGAAAATGCAATTTAAATTGAAGGAAAAAGTCCAGTATCCAAGTAAGTATTTTTCAGCAGGTACCATTTGCATAACCAGCAGTAAAAAAAAAATGGCTCTCTAGAGAAAAAAAAGTTAATGCTGAAGTTTCTTCATAGTAGGTACGTACATACGTACTTACATACATATATAAATACTATATAGAGTTCAATTCAAGGTGTTGATTTTCAACTTTAAAACTCTACATGATCTGGGGCCAGGTTATTTGACAGGTCAATTTTTCCCCAGTTACATCTACCTGACCAACCAGAGCAGGTAGGCAGGGTATGTTACTGGTCTCTTCTCTTAAGGAGATCTGTCAAATGGGACCAGAAAGAAGGGTCTTCTTTATGAAGGCTTCCTCCCTGTGGAACATCATTCCTGTGGAAATAAGATTGGCTCCCATCTTGATACGCTTTTGGAAGGTCCTGAAAATATGGTTTTGCCAGTGGGCCACGGAATCCCAGGAGCCCATCAAATGGCTGATTTGATTGTTGTGGCCAGGATGTGGAGGGTTGTTGGGTTTTGTATTTGGGCTTTATTTCTGTAAGGCACCTGGAATAATCAGAAATGAGTTGGGCTGCCATATGTGTTTTCTTAATAAATAATAAATATTCACTTTTTTTTTACTTATTTAAGATACTGATAATGCTGTCTCTCACAGTATGTTTGAAATAAACACAATTGTAAAAGTTTTAGTATTCATAATTATTAAAAACTAGAACTATCAAATTCCTAATAAAATGATGTTTTATTTCCCCCAAGCAGTTATTTACTTATAAATCAATAAAACATGCATTTTCTCAGATTTCTTATAGCTCTATGGGAAAAAAAACCTGACAAATATGTTTAATGTGAAATTACTTTCTATTATTTAAATTAATGAACTTTCAAGGCAGTACTCACTGCTTGAATTTTTGACAGCTCTTATTTTTTCCAGTCTTTCCTAGAAGATTTTCCTAATACCCTGTTTCTCCAACAATACGGCCTCCCCCAATAGGAAGTCCCAGCATGTTTTATAGGCATGAAATGAAATTAAGCCCCTCCCCCCAAATTAAGGCCTATATTAAAACATGCGAAATGGGGGGAATGGTGGGGGGGCTTGCCGTTAGGAAGTACTTTTGTTGCACAGCCGGATATGGTGCTGCCTGCGTTGACCCTGATACGAAGTGCCCCACCAACGCCGAGGTCAACATCCAAGCCGTTGCCACCCGCCCGAAGATGCAAGGGGGGGGATTAAGTCACCCCCGAAAAGACAGCCTAGCCATTTTTTCAGGGCTCAAAAAAAAATAAGACCCGGGTTTATTATATGAGAAACACGGTACATAGGTGGTTCTTGTAAGCCCTTGTATGTGATTCATTTACAACCACATGCAGAGGAATTCAACTCTAAAATCAGTAACAATCTCAAATAATGAGAGTCAATTTGGGATTTCTCAGTAAAAGAGAAACACATTATCAGAAGCATATGTTATAATATATATTGATATACCAGTTAAAGTTTGGGTGAGAAAACCTGTTCAAAGGTCCTAAAGTTGCATAAGTAAATTATGTTAACTGTTGTATATTGTTGGAAAACCCGTGGCTTCACATCAGATTAAATACTTAGTTTATCCTGAAGAATTTTCCCCCCAAAGATTTTTTCCCCTCTTACACAGAAACTAAGGCACATAGCAAGTTGTTTAGTGTTCTGTTATTAAGTATGTAATGCTTTCTATATAACTTGGCTACATGTGATAATTGAAGAGTTATGATTGGAGAATAAAAGCACTGTAGGTTAGCAAGAAATTAAGAATTTAAAGTGTTTAGCAGAAAATACTACCTCTGCCAACTAGTAACAAAAAATTAAGCCAGAGCTTATAAATGTTACAATAAAATCTTAAAATTTCTTTGCAATCTCTCTTCACAGTTTTGATCAAAAATATTCATTCTTTATATAGGTTTGCGAGTAATGCTTTTAACAGCTATAAAAGAAATGAAAGTGAAGAAGGGAGCATCCATTGTTGCAATTTTTAAGTATGTCCAGTCCATATATAAATATGATGTTCAGAGGAACCGTCGGATTCTTAAAAGAACTCTGGAAAAATTAATTGCAGAGAAGGTAGTGGAGCAAGTCAAAGGCCATGGTCTTGCTGGCTCTTTCAAGTTGGGCAGAAACTACAAGGAACAGTTGTTTTGTAACAGATCCAAAAAACAGGTGAGCTTGAAGAAAAAGAATAATTTAGGATTATTTAAATACATGTCCATTGCTATAATGAAGCTTTTTGGGGGGACAAGAAATAAAAGATAGGCTACCAGATCCATTGAATAGGAATTGCAAAATTCCTATGGAACAGGTCATTTATTTAAAATTAACCTTACACATAGTTGTATCATCATATCATTTTAAAATACAGTGCAAAGATTTATACAAAAGATCTTTGTACGAACAATTGTATGTATGAAGCCTTCTACTAGTGCAGAAACCCAGTCTTCCATGTAAGTATTCAAGATGTTCTTGCAGATATAAGGCAAAGGATTACATGATGAATGTTTATGAGTGGGCCGCTTTGATATGTCTTTGACTTGTATGTTCAATTTAAGAACTTAACACTTAAAAAGAAAATCTTTTTAGAAACTCTTTTGTGGACTTCCCATTCCCATTCATGATTTTTTTAAAATAGTAATGAAGTTTGTACTAAAGTATGTTCTTAATTGTCCCTAATCTTTAAGTACTTTGACAGAATTGTGCACAATTTTGGCAAAACAGAGTATAGATCTTAGTTATTATAAGTTAATATTACAAAGTAAAAGATTATATATCAAATATAATATGAGTAGGTTTTTTAATGAATCATAAGAGAATTGCACTGTACTTTTAATTAACAAGAATATTGAAATGTGGGAGGAAAGGAACTTGTACATCAACACTGCTTTTATGCTTTTATGCTTGTATGCTTTTAAAAAATCAGTTTGGAGATTGCCAAGCATACTCAATACAGTGAAATATATATTCTAAACAGATATCCCCACTTGGTATTGTATAAAGGTTAAGAGATAGTGGCTCACACATGTAATGCAAGCCCTCTTCAGATGTGCCTTTCAGGTGTGTTGAGGGCTTCCAGAATTTCTTTCTGGTGAGAATTACATGAATTATAGTCAGAACACATCTAGAGGGTTCAGGTTGAGGAATACAGCATGCAGAGTTGATGTTTCCAGCTCTTTCTTTCTCTAACTTCAGAGAATTAGCAATTAGTATGATGAGAATTAAGTTTAGATTCTTTTATATTTACAGAAAAAGCAAACTTCAAATAGATCTCAGAAGAAAAATTTGCCAGACCGTAACACTGAAATCATAAAATTGAATGATAAGGATGCATGTTCTACAAATGCTCTAAAGTTACCTCAGGTGACAGATATTACAGCAGAAGATCATGATTACTGTGCAACAAATAAAGATACTAGTGAATCAAATCTAGATTCTAAGCGTTGTAAAACTAAACATTCTCAGTGTAGATCAGCTGATAACATGCTTAGATCCAAAGATGAGATATGCTGTAGTGTTGCTGTTCCTAAAAATATGGATGAAACAGAAGAGGTGCAGGATGCCTTAGAAGAACAGTCTTCAGTCTGTCAAGAACACACAAGCATCTTTAAACACCACCCTGGTTCTGTGTTTCCATTCAACACTTCTGATTATCGCTTTGAATGCATCTGCGGTGAGCTTGGCTTGGTTGACTACAAAGCTCGGGTACAGTGCCTGAACTGTCACCTGTGGCAACATGCTGAATGTGTGAATTATAAAGAAGAAAATCTTAAGATCAAGCCCTTTTACTGCCCCCACTGCCTTGTAGCTATGAAACCAGTTCCTACAGGAGCAACTCTCATCATTTCTCCAAGTTCAATCTGCCACCAGTGGGTTGATGAAATTAATAGGCATGTGAGATCATCATCCCTTCGTGTGCTGGTAAGAAGCATTCTTTATAAAAACAGTAGTACAGTAAGAGTTTGAAGAATGTGATGGATCTCTGAACAGCAAGGAGAAGGAAATATATTTTCTTGTGGGTATTATTTTGTATAGCACAGGTGGAAATACATGCCTTTATAGAGGCTGGTGGAAAATACAAGGTTTTTCCATTTATCTGTACCTGCATGATAGCAATAGTAATAGCACTTAGACTTATATACTGCTTTATAGTACTTTACAGCCCTCTCTAAGCAGTTTCCAGAGTCAGCATAATGCCCCCAACAATTTGGGTCCTCATTTTACCTACCTCGGAAGGATGGAAGGCTGAGTCAACCTTGAGCCTGGTGAGATTCGATCTGCCAAATTTCAGGCAGCTGGCTGTAGCAGAAGTAGCTTGCAGTATTGCACTCTAACCACTGTGCCACCAAGGCTCATTATTGCTATCATTTACAAAAACAGTTTGAAGTTCATTGTAACCTGGATAAAATATTTTTGTTCAATTTGTTGCTAGCAAACTTCAGAAATTACAGTAGAAAATCAGCCATGAATTGATGTATTTCTGTATTAAAGGGATTAAGTCTAATTGTGTACTTCCTCATGTGCATGCAGACAACTCAAGACAATTTTGAAATGCTATGTGAGTGTTTCAATGGATACTATTCCTCTAAGCTCAAAGAGATGTATTTTTCTCACCAGCACATTTTATCACATGCTCCTTTTGCAAAAGTACTTCGGCCATGTTTTATTTCAGTCTACTAAACTATTAAACTGTCACCATAACTTTACTTTTTTTATTTTAATTTTCCTTGGGCATCTAATAAATCATTATAGTTTATCATTTTCCTTTAATCTATTTGGGTGTATCATGGCCTCCATGGTTGACAACCAATGTGGTATTTTCATATAATATTTCTTCTTAATTTTTCTCCATGTTTGTAATAATGAATCTCTTATTAAATGCCTATTAAAATAGACATGTGTTTTACCCTTTTTCTCCCACAAATATGCGCGACAACCTTCCTGGAGCTCATGATCTTCTATTGTTGGTATTCTTTTATCTCTTGATTTGACCCAGTCCTTGACCCAATTTAATATTGCTGCTTGGTAATATAATTCCCATTCTGGTAGCCCAAAACCACCTCTGCTTTTACTATCCTGCATCAATTTTAGTTTAATGCGTGGTTTCTTACCCAGCCAGACGAATTTCATTGTTATATTGTTTAGTTCATTGAAAAATGGTTTTCCTAATTTATCAGGATCATCTGGAAAAAAAACATCAGTTTTGGTAAGATACTCATTTCCAACACTGCAACTCTGCCTAATATTGATAATTAGAGTGGAAAAAAAATAAAATACTTGGGAGTATGGTTATTTGCTAGGTGCTCATCAATAAAAGAAGATTACCAAATTAACCAAACAAATTAGGAGAGAACTTTACTTTTTTTAATGAGCAAGGAAATGCTTAACTTTACGATGGACAACCACTTTTTACTATGTGAACTCTCTAACTGGCAACATTTGCTTTGTCTTGTATTTTTGGGCAAAATCCATACAGGTTTATCAAGGAGTGAAGAAACATGGCTTTTTGCAACCTCACATCTTAGCAGAGCAGGATGTAGTGATCACTACATATGATGTCCTCCGGTGTGAGCTGAATTATGTCGACATTCCACATAGCAATAGTGAAGATGGGCGCCGTTTCAGAAACCAGAAACGTTATATGGCCATTCCTAGTCCCTTGGTAGCTGTGGAGTGGTGGAGAATTTGCCTAGATGAGGCACAGATGGTAGAATGCACCACGGCAAAGGTGAGGCAATCCCTTGGGAATTTCTGCTACTGTTTAACCATTGGAGATGTAAATGTGCCCTTGAACTTTATCCTTCAGAAGTGAGTAAATTACGAGTTTCCCCTAAAGGTATTTGCTTCTAAATATTTTCCCTGATGGAGGTTTGATAGGATATGAAGCATATCCATTTTTAAAATAATAACTTTACATAATGTATTCTGACAGTTTAAAGAAGTAGGTCATGATGTCTGTTACATAGCTTCATGGCTTAAAGCAAGAGATTGATTTAATGCTATCTCAAGAGGCACAAGATATGCCCTTTGGGTTTAGAAGATGTAAAACTGTTAGCATTGACTTTGAAAATGCCCATTTTAGCAGCTGGTAGAAGATATTGCTAAAAAATTATTTTAAAAAATTTCTATTACATTTTACAATGTCCACTCCTAAGTAATTCAGGGAACCTTATAGAAATATAAACATTTATTATTTATTAAATTTATGGGGTGGCACATTGGCTCAGCAGTTAAGATGCTGAGCTTGTCAGTTGGAAAACCATCAGCCCAGGTTTGAGATCCGAGCACCACACAATGGGGTTAATTCCCATCCTTGCTCCAGCTCTGTCAACATAGCAGTTCAAAAGCATGCAAATGTGAGTAGATAAATAGTTATTACTTTGGTGGGAAGATAACCACTCAGTAATATCATACTGGCCACATGAACATGGAAATGTATTTGGACAGTGCTGGCTCAATGACCTTGAAATGGAGATTAGCACCGCCCCCTATAGTTGGCAATGACTAGCAGAGTAAAATCCGCAGGGACTACCTTTTTTAAAAATTAAGTTTATATGCTGCCCATCTCACTATCAAAGCAACTCTGGACTTTAAACTTTAAAACCACAGCTGCATAAAAAGCCTCTGAAACTGTTTAGATCCTCATTCAGTTGGGATAAATTTAGATCATGTATGGCAGATGGATAGGTGTTAAAAAGGCAAAGCAGGGGAACAATTCGGTAAAGATGGAATTTATAGGAAATATGATCAGAATAAGGCAGGTTTGCTGTAAGAGAAGGAGCTCAGTTGTAATGGTCTAGAACAATGATTAGCCAACCTTGGAATTTGGGGACCTGAGGGCACATTATACCATGGAACCAGGAAATCCCAGTTAAAATCCATTCTCAACCATGAATATTAATGGGAGACTTTGGGCCAGCCACGTTTTCAGCATAATTATGTAACTTGTGTTGAGAAATGTGGAGAAGTTTGTGTATGTGCCATGTATGCTATTTGAGTACCTGAAAGACGGATGGGATAGAATTCTTATCGATGAATCTTAAAAAAGACTTCTGTGATGTATTTATCAATACATAAGAATATATATATATATATAATTTGTTTTCTTAAGTTTTCGTGGTTACTTGTATGGTATTCAGCTTTGTTCGGGTATTTTCCCACGTCATTATAGTTGTGCTTTTAAAGTTGTAGCAACGTTTCGGCAGAATCTCATCTGCCATCATCAGGCTTCTGTATTGTGTTCGTCTGTGAGTCAGACTTTCACAGCCGTTTCAGTTTTAAATTTGGGGCTAGCCTACTGCTGTGCCAGAATGGTTTTTTCTTCATCCTGATTGGTTGGGAGTCTTGGTCTGTGTTTATTGGTCTTGGAATTTTCTGTGTTCCGCTTGATTGGTGTTTCAAGACAAAATCAAGACAAAAAAAGCCACAAAACAGACAGAAGATATTTGAAACATTGAAACGTTGCTACAACTTTAAGAGCACAACTATAATGATGTGGGAAAATACCCGAACAAAGCTGAATACCATACATGTAAGTACCCGCGAAAACTTAAGAATATATATACATATATACATATATATATATACATATATATACATACATATATACATACATATATATACATACATATATATACATACATTATATACACACACACACACACACACACACACACACTTAAGCTTCAGTTATGAGCACAGTTTTTGTTCATCTATTTATACACAAACAATCATATAAAGCTTATGAATAAATAAAACATTAAAAAAGAAATTGTTAAAATTCTGCCACCATTAAGAAGCTATCCTGAATAAAATTGTTTTTCATAAGCTTGTGAAATCAAGTAACATGGTGATCTGGTACAATGATCAGTGTTAAAGTGTTCTGTAGTATTGGGGCTACAACAGAGAAAACCTGTCCCACACTATGAGAGAAGTCAGGGTCTCGAGTAGGCCCTCTCTAGTTGTCTTGGCAGGATGGGGAGAATTAATTTTCAGAAGACAGTTTCTAATATAGCCTGAAATTATGTTATAAATGTTTAGAGCACTTTGAATTGGCTCTGAAAGATTGCTGAAAACCAATTGAGAAATTGGTAGTTGACTAAGAAATAAGTGTTAAATTAGCAAGTTTTACTTACCAGCAGCCTGACAGCTGCATTCTGAGCAAGGTGTGCTTTCTAGATCAATCCCATATCCAAAATTCTTCCCCCAAGCAATCATAGTTTCTTTAACTTGTTCTTCTTCTAGTTTAATTTCTAATAAATATCCATACAATTTTTTAATCACCTTTTCATCAGTACCTGTCAAAATCTTATCTAAATCAGTCAGTTTATCATAGAAACCTTCTGTTTTAGAATCTTTATCATACCTTGAATGTATTTGCGCATATGAAAACCAATTCATCTTTATACCTTGTTCCTCTAGTTTTTGTATAGATTTAAGTTCACCCTTTTCATTCAATATCTCACCGTATCTAACTGTTTGCTCCTTTTTGTATATTATAGGATAAGAAAATGCTTCAATAGTCGATAGCCAGACTGGAATTTTCAAAAACATTGTCTTTTAATCTTCTCCCAGTTTAACCACAGAGACTCCCGTATATAATGTAAATGTAAAGATTGATCTAGAGAAATGGCAAAAATTGTGGTCTCAAAATTATAAAATGACAATGTCAACAGCATATAAAGAAAATTTGTGTAAGATGTTTTACAGGTGGCATTTCCCCCCGACAAGAATAGCAAGAATGTTCAAAAATAAATCTGAAAAATGTTGGAAATGTCATCAGATACCTGGCTCATATTACCATATGTGGTGGACTTGTGCGGATGCTAAAAAATACTGGACTAAAATCCACACGTGGTTGGAAAAAATGACAAAAAAACATATAGATTTGAAACCAGAGATATTTTTATTGGGAATTTTACCTGAAATATATAGTAAAGATTTGAAATACCTGATTGTAAATGTATTAACAGAGGCTAGGATTGTATTTGCTAAAAACTGGAAAAATGAGAAAATACCATCACAGGAGCAAGGTGTGCTTTCCAGAGAGCTATATGATGATCGTATGTCTCAATTTTGTCAGCTTCCTACTCTTAATATTGCATCAGTCTAAACTGCACAAGGACTCCACTAGATATTGCCTTGATCTTACAGTGCTGTTTGCTGCCTAGCTCTTGGATTTAATATTGCTGCTACATGTCATGATCCTGTCTTATCTTTTCTATCATCTCGTATAGGCTGCAGAAATGGCACTCCGTTTGAGTGGAATCAATCGTTGGTGTGTGAGTGGTACACCGGTACAGCGAGGACTCGAAGGTGAATGATCATCATAACATTGTCTTTTAAGTTGTTATCAGTAATCAATGATTTATACTTTAAAAATCAACATTACTAGATTAATTGCTGGTGGATTATGTAGACTATAAAATGATGGGCTACTCATTTTAATTTTTCAAAAAAGTCTAGTCTCAGTAACTATACCATCAATCCTTCATCCTCAAAAGAAAACAATCTTAAACAGGTTTAACTTTTCAGATGATGAGCTAAAGTAGAATATATATATTCTCTCTCTCTCTCCCCCTCCCTTCCTCTCCCCCCATCTCTATATATAACATTTTAAATACGTTTTGAAAGATCATTTTAAATACATTTTGAAAGATTGCCCCCTGCATTCGGTAAACTTTACTTTGTCTTTGCAACAGATTTGTATGGATTAATACTTTTCCTTGGTGCTGATCCTTACTGGGTCAAATATTGGTGGGATCAGCTTCTATATCGACCATACTGCAGGAAAAATACACAGCCTCTGTACAATTTTGTAGCCAAGATAATGTGGAGGTCAGCAAAGAAGGACGTGATTGATCAAGTAAACATTTCAGTTCTAATAACATGTTTTTAGACATCATTTTGTACCTGAACTTTAGTTGTTTATTATTTTTTCATTTTGTTAGATTCAGATTCCTCCTCAGACAGAAGATACACATTGGCTTCATTTTTCTCCTGTGGAGAGGCATTTTTATCATCGCCAACATGAGGTGTGCTGCCAGGATGCGTTGGTAAAACTCAGGAAGATTTTGGATTGGTCTCTCAAACTTAGTAGCTTGGATAGGAGGACAGTGACTTCCATTTTGTACCCTTTGCTGCGTCTGAGACAGGCCTGTTGTCACCCACAAGCTGTTCGTGGAGAATTCTTGCCTCTACAGAAAAGGTTAATTTTACTTCTCAAAATGGATTTAGATTCTTATTATTAATGTGGAATGTTCAGTCCCTGAAGCTCTATTTACATTATAGTGCTCAAAAGTACTTACTGATATTAATAAAAGATGGGTTTTTATTCTATCTTCACACTGTAGGTGAATTATTATTACCAGTAGCTGCCAGTAGTCTTAACATTACATATGGCTTTATAACAGCAAGCCAGTACAGTTCTTCTTTTCTGATAGTATTCAAAACAAAGATAATCACTTCATAAAAACTACATATGGCCAATATGGCTTGTTTTGAAATTCTATTCAGGACACTAGATTTCTGCCCTTTGTTTTCTTATTATATAAGGTTCCCGAATTACATAAAAAATAAATTATCCTTTTCTGATAAATAATGTGGTTGCTAAGAGTCTACACTGACATGATGGCATGTAATAAATTTTTAATAATATACTGAGACATCTGTATGAATAAAGAAATAGAAAAATACCTAAATTAAAATAGATTTAGTCAATTATCCAACCTTGATTCCTTATATATTTTCCTTGGTATATATGTATCCTTGATATTATTGCTACTATTTAGAGTTACCAGTTTCTGAGACAACATTTTATAGTCCAGTGAAGTCCTTTTAATGTTATACTTCCAGTGTCTAAACACAAGTTAATGCTATGTTAAACAATCATTTGAGTTTCTTTATGACCAAAGCTTAGTTGAGATAGGCTGGCTAGATGCTTTTGTCCTTCTCTTTTTCTTTTTTTTCTTTTTCCCTGTACTTTTTACTCCTCTGGTTTTTTTTAATTTATCTTGTATTAGATTTTTACTATTGTAATAAAATTCTTGATAAAAATTACATATTAAAAAATAAGCTATCCAATCAATATTTTACAACATTTACAACAGCAAAGCATCAGGCGAGCAACTAATAGTGGCATGTAAACATTCCCACCTTGTCACCACTAGTACTGACTTCTCTGGGAAGTTCAAACAAAATATTTTTTTGAAATCACAGTCTTTAGAATTCCACAGAACTTTACTTGACAAAGGCTGCTTTAGACAACAGTATTTTTGAAAGTCACACCTGCTTTCTGTGTAGTTTAAACAGATCAAACATATATTGGATATGAAATTTATTTGCTTTGTAAGGTAATTTATTCACATGTAAATAATCCAAATAATTTAGTTAGAAAATGTCTAAAACTGATTACTTCCTTCAAAGCTAATTATTTACAATGAAATCAACAGTGTTCAAGAAATACTAACTTCAATGTGTCCACCATGAATGAAATTCAGTTAAAATTTAGATTATGGCCAGTGACTGAGAAATAATTGCAGTGAATAATTTTCTGTCTATTTCTGTTTTCTCCTTTTTCTTCTCTTGAGGAAGAAGTAGCAAATTATTTGTAATTTGCAATTCATTCCCTCACTGTACTAGAAATATTATACAAACCTGTATTTGGAGGCTACTATTTCTACTAAATTTTACCATAATGGTTGTTTAAACCATTGTAATTTCAGGAAATGTATAGATGGGACCTAATCAGTGGTGGGATTCAGCCGGTTCATGCAAACCAGTTGTTAAATTACTCCCCCCACCCAGCTGTGCTGCAGTGGAAAAACTAGCATTGAAGTGACCAGTGCAAGGGAAGGAGAAGGCCACATTCCCTCTTTCTTCTCCCCGCTCCTCCTTCCCTCCTGCCGGCTGCTCCGTTGTCTGTTTCTCTATTGCAGCACAGCACCCAGAATGCACTTTGAGAGCGGGGTGGCGGGTGTCATTTAACAACTGGCTCGTCCAGGGTCAGGTTGGGCCACGCCTCCCATGACAGCTAACCTGACTCTGGGTGAAAAGGTTGTTAAATTATTTGAATCCCACCACTGGGTCTAGTGACTTTAATCTTAGATTATATATAGTCCTTGGTTATTGATTACTCATTTAATGACTATTTGAAGTTGATGGTGATGAATGAGTGCTTAATGACCGCTCCTTGAAGTTCTAACCATCCCAGCACCCCCACAGGCAGGTGGTCATGATCCAGGTGCATGGCAACTGGCTCACATTTACAATTGTTGTAGTATCCTACGGTCATATGATTGCCATTGGTTATTTCCCTGTCAGCTTCCCACAAGCAAAGTTAATGGAGGAGTTGGCAGGGAAAGCCACAAGTCACTCTTGTAGTGTGCCCACCCTCACCCGTGTGGCACTGCAGCGCCCTTTCCCATGTTACCTTACACAAATGCCTCAGCATCACTTCCCATGCCTGCCCACATTTGCGTGATGCTGCAGCGCCCCTTTGCATTTTGCTTACACTTGTCTCCTCCCCCACCTGCACAGAGTGCCACAGAGTGCCTTTGTTATTTTGGCATCTTAATAGTTAGGATCATATGGCTTTTCCTGCTTTTGCTTTGTTGCAGCACCCTGAATTATTTTATCTATTCATTGTTGTTGGTCAGTCTTCTTTTTCTTTACTTTCCCTTTTACTGCTCTGGGTGTCAAGGGACATTCAATGCTGTTGCACTTCTGGTGGCCTCAACCATTGTTAAATGATGAAGTTGTAGTGTTGATTAATCACTTTTACTTAAGTGATTAAGTAAGGCAATAATTGTCTTGAATCAAACAATGCATATGATTTAGCCCTATGTATATAGTGGCATTTTTAAACTACCTAACTTACTATATGTTTTAGATAGGTTTTAGACTAGGTTTTTAATTATTATTTTAATTATTTAAATTTTTAAATTAAAATAATGTAGTGTGATTGTGATGTGGTGTTTGGGACACTGTGCTGGAGTAGGTTTCAAATTTCATTGTATTTGTAGAATGCAATGACAATAAAGGTATTCTATTTCTATTTCTATTCTATTAAGTTAGTTACATTCTCTGTCCACACTTGTGCTCTCTCCCATATAGTGCAAATTGTAAAGCCCATGGCCAAGAGTATTGTCCATTCTTTGTTCCGCAATAATTTGGATAGTTATTACAATTGTGTGTATAATTCATGTTTGGGTCTTTGTTCCAGCACAATGACAATGGAAGAACTTTTAACATCTCTGCAGAAAAAATGTCGGATAGAATGTGAAGAAGCTCATCGCCAATTGGTGTGTGCTCTTAACGGCCTAGCTGGTATTCATATTATTAAAGGTAAAAAGGGAAAAAGAAAAACCCTGGAAATAGTATGAGATGATTCTTTGACTTGTAAATATATTATGTTCTTTTTATCTTAATTTGTTACAGGTGGTCCTCAACTTACAAATAAAAAAGGGACCAGAAAATGTGTTGTTAGGCAGTATGGTTATTAAATGAGGCATCATGTAACTGCACTTGATTTCACAACATTTTTTGCCACAGTCATTACATGAATCACCATGATCTTTTAAGCGAGACATCCCATGACTGTGACTTGTAACCTTCCCTGCTGTTTCCCCATTGACTTTGCTTGTCAGAAGCCAGCTCAGAAAGTCACAAATGGTGGTTAAATGACCGCAGGATACTGCAAATGTTGTAACTACACTACAGTTGCCAAGTATCTGAATCATGATCACATGACTGCAAGGATAATGTGACTGTCATAAGTGTGAGGGCCAGTTGTAAGTCACATTTTTTCAGTGCTGTCATAATTTTGAACAATTGCTAAACAAATGGTTGTTAAGTGAGGACTACCTGCATATTAGTTAAGTTAAGCTATTTGGTTTTCACTACATTCACAAGCAAAAAGTAGCTGTCATCTGAATATAGTTGCCTAATGAGACTAGCAATGAATATGTGGAAAGGTACTGTTTTGGTTTTCAGAAACAAAACTACCGTAAGTAGAATTTAAATAATGCAGTGTGTAAATTGAAGCATCTCAGACGTTTGTATTATGTTGCTAATATATTTAGATTGATTGGTAGATTAATTGATTGATTGTGGTCATCAAACTGGTATTGACTCTTAGTGACCACATAAATAAATTTCTTCAGGATAATCTCCCCAGCCTGGCCCTTCAGGACTTCCAATAATATACTCGTTACTGTTGTAACTGAGAAAATCCACATTGCTGCTGGTTCTCTTTCCTTTCCTTCCACATTTGCTAGCATTACGATTATCTCCAGAGAGCTGTGTTTTTGCAATATGTGTCCAAATTTGACCCTGGACATTTGTGCCTGGAGTGAAATGTTGTGGATTGATATATTTTGATGTTTTCCATTTATTCCCTTGGTATTTATTCCCTCTGGTATTCTTAGGAATCTTCTCCAACATCAAAATTCAAAGTATTGCTTTTTTGAAGTCCAAACTGCACTTTCACAGAGTGTTACAAGAAAAAACAATGCCTGCACATTCTGATCTTTGTATGTATAGGTGCATCGTGGCATTTGAATATCTTTTCCAGGGCCTTCATGGCTGCTCTAGGAAGGGCTGATCTGCAGGGTATTTCTTGATTGCTATTGATGGATGAACCTGAAATGTAGGTATTCTCCATCACTGCAGTATCTTTATTGTCAATTCTATCATGGTTGTTCTACCTGTTGTAATTAGTTTGGTTTTCTTTATATTTAATCTTAGTCCCAGTTTTTCTCTGTGCTTCTTGACATTTATTACTAGAACTTGTATATTGTTTGCATTTTCAACTGTCAAAGTAGCGTCCGCAAGCATAAGTATTTATATTTCTTCCTCCAGTTTTAAAATTATTCTTATCTTTTTCGGTCCAACTTTCCTCATATTCAGTATACAGGTAGTCCTCGCTTAATGATCATAATTGAAGCCTTAACACTAATTGAAACAGTGGCTTAGTAGAAAATCATGTAATCACAACCGTGCTTTAAAGCTAGAAAGAAATAAGACTAATCAGTTTCATACCTTCAGCTTTGCTCTTCTACATATCAAAAGCAATGAAATTGCAGCCTTGGTGCACTGCATAAACAGCTTACAATACTCTTTAAATTGCTGCATCTCCAGTGTTTCTGCTGTGTGAGAGGAGAGTGAAAAAAGCCAACAATTTCTGTAAGCACCCTCTCCTTTGCCTAACCCTTTCCTGCTACCAATGCAATCACATTGTATTGAAAAGCATTGGGAAGCTACAGCTAGTGCAGAGTGCAGCAGCATGGGCAGTTCTTGGGGCTCCAAGAATTGCCCATGTAACATCACTGCTCCGCGAACTGGTCCGTTTCGAGGTATAATTCAAGGCGTTGGTAATAATCTTTTAAGCACATTATAGTATGGGTCCAAGCTACTTGAGGGACCATCTCATCCCATTGGGACTGTCCTGCCCCACCTGTGCTAGCAGAGAAGGCTTGCTGTGGGCTTATTGGCCTGATTATTTTGGCTGGTGGGGTCCAGGAGAAGGGCCTTATCTGCCATTGCATCTACTTTCTGGAACATCTTGTCCCCTGGAGTATGGTCAGTTCCAACCTCCTGACCTTCTGTAAGAGCCTAAAGATCTGTTCTTCATGTTAGCTTGGGGCTCCAATAGGGGAGTATCACACTGGAGTTGATAGATTAACATCTCCCCTTCTCCTGCCCTTTTAATTGGGCTGCAGTATTTGGCTTTTGGTATTAACTTATTTATGATTTTAGCTTTTATCAATTTTATTTTTTATGATGGTAAACCGTTCAGAGCTACCTTGAGATAAGATGGGTGGCCAATAAATTTTATAAACAAATAAATAGAAGAACAGTTTGCTTTCTTGAAATCTCTTTCCACTCTTTGGTTGGGGTGGTGATGGTGGTTGAGCAAATGATTGGTTGGTTGAGTTTAACGAAGGAATTTCAAGAGAATACTGTAATCCGTTTGAATAGCATGTTGTGGTTCCCATCCCCAAGCTATTGGCACAATTCTGTTACTTTCAATATGTAGAGAAGCAAACAGCTTACTTTCTTGCAATCCCTTTCTCTCCAATCTTTCCGTTCTTAAGTGAGGAAAAGGAAAAAAATACATCAGGCACAGAACAATATGTACTGACTAATAGCAATTACATAACTGACAGATACTGTCAAAGTCATAAATGATCCTAATTTGGTCATAATAATTTTTCAGCACATCATAATTTTGAACAGTCATTAAATGAGTATTCAGTAAGCAAGGACTATCTGTATAGGTTGGGTAAATAGGGGGAGAATATCCAGCTACATTCTATTTGGATTGTGGCTTCCTGACTTATGAATAATAGGTTTTGCATGAAAACAAATGAGGTGTTTTGAGATTCTCATTTTTCTAAACACTTTCCAGTTTGATATAATCAACAGAATCAAAGATCTTTCTACAATCAGTGGAACACATATTGACTTCTTGGTATTCTTTGGCTTTCTCAATTATCCATTGTTCAGCAGTAATAATGTCTCATGTTCTTTGGCCTTTTCTAAAGCCAGCTTGAACAGGAATTGATGGAATATCTATAAAAATATGGCAAGAAGAAGAGCTTGTAAAGGTTTTAACCAAAAGGATGACAGCAAATCTGAAAAATTACAGAAGCCATTGAAGAGGTCAGTTTTCATACTAATTCCAAAGAAAGGATAGTTGAGTATGCAACTATTGTATAATACCTTTAACTTCACATTCTAGCAACATAGTGCTAGATTATAGCCCCTTATGGAAAGGAGATTCCAGACATTCAAGCCATGGAATGTGTTTAGAAAAAAATATCCATTTGTTCTGACTTCGTAATGAATAGGATGGTGATTTAACTTCTTCTAGTATTAGTAGGGAACATTTGTTCAGATATCCAGTTTGCTTTATTCAGTTTTTTGGTCTCTTTTCACATTCATCCTTTGAATTCATTCCACAGTTCTTCTAGTTCCCTATCTATGAGATTTAAGCCTTCAATATGATTTTTGATGTTCTCCTTAAAAATGGTGGCTATATGCTCAAAATCACATCATGGATTCTGGTTGATTTTCTATTTTTTCACTTTAGCTTAACTTTGAACCTGCACATGAGAAGTTCATGCTTCTTTTTCCCAGTCAGCCCCTAGCTATGTTTGGTGTTATAATTCAGCTCTGCTATCACCTTATACCAGTAATATAGTTAGTTTTATTTCTGCGTATGTATAGTGATGTCCATGTTTAGTAGTGATGTCCATATTTATAGGTATCATTTTGGTTATTTGAAGACTGTGTTAGCAATGAAAAATCATTGGCTGAAATGGATAAGCCATTCCCCTATACAGTTGAATTCCCATATAGTTGAATTATATCTTCATCTTCAATATTTTCCCCTTTGGCATTCCAGTCTCCAGCAGGTATGCTTGCATATTCTGTTAATTTCAAATTGGACTTGAGCATTAAACTCATTAACCTCCTCTTCTTTTGCTTCAGTAGCTGGAATATTAACTTTGATAATTTTCATATTAAAGAGTGATCTGCAACATCTAAATCACACTATTAAATCGTTAATTGCACTGTGATCGAGTATTGTTCTTGCTGCATCTTACCTAACTGAAAGCTTAGTGTGTTCTCTATTTTTATGCCCAAATAGTGAACAGTATAATCTTCTTTCTGAAAGCACCCAATTTCAGTCCATTTAAATTCTCTGATGTCTAAGATATCAACACAATATTTAGTTAACTTCATTTCATCTTTCAGTATGCTGAACATCCCCATATTGATGCTTTTTAGATTCCATGTTATGACTGTAATTTTATCATTGTAACTTCAGATTTTTTCCCCTGCATGAAATGATGGCATCTACACTAGATGCCCTGAAAACTTTAAATTAGCCATGTCATGAACACCCTTAGTAATTCAAAAGATTCTCAGCATTTCTGAGCTGCATGTTGAGGAGCATCCAGACTGAAGGGGTTTTCATTCAGAACTATATTGTTAGTCAGTTTATCTTGACTATCCTGTACAGTATGAAACAATGCCTTTGTCATTGTTACTAAAGTAATCATCTGCCTCCAGCATCTTCTATGTTGCTGCTGTCCAAGGTAGGAATCTGCTAGTTTGGGCAACTGGGTAAGCCTTCATGCCTTGAATGATCTTGCTGGGATTTTATACACTTGGCATACATTCCTGATGTTCTTTGCTCATCCTTCCTAGGAACACCCCCCCCACGCCCTATTGCTGATTATAAAACACATTTGTTAAGACATTGGTCTTATATGTTGTTTTATGGCTTTATGAAACTTGAAGCAGCTTCAGCTTTGATCTAAAGTTCACCGGATTTCTTTAAAATGAAGTGAGAAATATTCTTTTTTTTCACAGTAGTTTGCTGCCGTTCTTTTAAATATCAAGTGAATGTAAACTCTGGATTTAAATGCCAAAAGGAAACGTTACTCTTAAGAAATAGCTTTTTTTGCAGTTTGTTTTAGTTGAAAAACAACAAATGAATTTATGAAATCAAAAGAAAACTCTCACGAACCATTTCCAATAAATTTAATCCTTTGTCAGGAAGTACATCTGTGGAGATTCTCAGTCATCTAGGTCATAGTTGTCTCAATTTTTTTCCCAAAAGGCAACTAGACAGTTTTCTCCTTGAAGAAGAATAGTATAATGCATTCATAGATACCTGTCATAGTACCTACTCTGGTAGCAAACTTGGGGAAGAAAATAATATCCTATCATTCTTCCTGCAAGGAAAAACAAGGAAATGAGAGCTGAAAGACCAGATTGAAGTAGGAAAACCATAATTGTGTGTCTTAAACACAGATCATGTGCTCTGCCTTTCAGCATAAAATACAGTGGCGTTTCAAAGTTTGTGAACTGTATGGATTTTCAATATTTCTGCATAAATATGAATCTAAAATGTGATCTGTTCTCCAAATAAGTTCTAAAACTAGGTAAAGATAACCCAATTAAACAATTGTGTCAAAAATACATTTATTTATTGAGGAAAATAGCAATAGCACTTTAGACTTATATATTGCTTCACAGTGTTAAGTGGTTAACAGAGTCAGCACATTGCCCCCAACAATCTGGCTCCTCATTTTACCAACTTCGGAAGGATGGAAGGTTGAGTCAACCTTGAGCCTGGTGAGATTCGAACTGCAGGCAGTCAGCAGTCAGCAGAAGTAGCCTGCAACACTGTGCCACTATGATCTAAACCTATTTCTGTATGTAGTAAAAGTCACCATTTTGACTTATTTTTCCAATTGGTCTTTATGGAAGGACAGTGATCTCCACCTCTGATCAATGTCTGTTAGAAGGGAGGAAAAAGAAATTCCCAGGAACACATGGATTTGGATTTAGGAAATCTGGGTTTTAATACGTCAACTTGTGAAACTTTGGAAAATAATTCATTAAAGGATATAAGTGCTGAGAAGAGAAGGAAATGAATTCTTGGATCTTGAGTTCTAATGTGAGCAGATTATGTCAGGATGTTAACTGTCTATTGAACTGATAGTGCATAAGCTTAATCTGCTCAGAGCTGTAATAATAAGTTACGCAGTTTAATGTTATCTTGACATGGCAGTCCTCAACTTATAACTATAATTAAGCCTTAAATGTCTGTTGCTAAGTGAGACATTTGTTAAGTGAATTTTGCCTCATTTTACGACACTTCTTGCCACAGTTGTTAAGTGAATCACAGCAGTTGTTAAGTTAGTGACATGGTTGCTAAATGAATCTGGCTTCCCCATTGACTGCTTGTCAGAAGGTGGCAAAAGGTGAATACATTACCTGGGACACTGCAACTGTCATAAGTATGAATATAAACTAATTGTTAAGCATCTGAATTTTGATCTCATGATGCTGCAGTGGTTGTAAGTGTGAAAAATGGACATAAGTCACTTTTTTCTAGTGCTGTTGTAATTTCGAGCGGTTACTAAACAGTTGTAAGTCAAGGACTACCTGTAATTTCTTATGAACTGGCTTTAAATAATGTTTCAGCATGTTGTTGTGTTTGTATTTTTCAAAGAGATTGTATATTTAAATATTGATTGTTTATAAATACTACATACTCATTTTTACCATTTCAGCCAGATAGTTTTGATAATGCAAGGGAACTGTCTTGTCCAAGTCATTCAAGCTTTAGTATAACTTTAAATAATAATGTAATAATATTTTGCATGGAAGTTACAATTACTGGCAAGTGGAGTTCTCAACTTTAGAGTTCAAGTGCAATGGGAAACCACAGTTTCCTTGGACATAAATAAACCTGCCTGAATATCTGATTTATATATTTCCTCTCCCCTCTATATTTTCATGATTGTAAGGAGAGGATTTGAAGTTTGTGCTTAAAAAAACACAGTTATACATTATATACCTGCTTTGAAAGTTATGATTTGTTTAACTTAAAGAATAGGTCAGAATCTGAAATCCAACTTCGATAGCAGATTCTTTTCAATATCAGGCACATTGGAATATGTTTTAAATTTGAAGAAAGATTGAACTGATTTGTTTGAAGTCATAAAATTAGAACAGAAAGAGGAACATGGATATCAATTGATAGTGGTTTCCTATTATACTTGAATTGGGCCTGGTTCATTGTTTGAAGAATAGCACAACTAATCACTAGTACCTGCCCTGGCCCTATTTTGTCTTCAAAGATAATAATAGTCATCTCCTGGTGAAATTTTTTCCAACTTCAACTACAAGGCATGCAAGAAACAGCAAGGACAATACTTTGAGAACCCGCAAGCAAAAAGCAATTTTCACAAATTATATAAAGCTGTTATTTGATCACTTCATTTACCTGGGTTTTAGTAGAAAGATTATAGCAACAGAAAGAATTCAGTAAAAGCATTCCACAAGTCCATTTGGTAAGAAATTTGACTTACCATCTGGTAACTGAAACAGACAAATGTGTGGCAGATTCACCTTGAACTAGCTGAACAAGGGAGAACTGGCAGGGCAAAGATGGAACTTTGGATTTTGGACATTTTGGTTTGTTAATTCCAAAAGAATTCCCTGATTAATGCTTCATATTATTTCTCCACATCCTCTTCAGTGAAGAAAACGACTCAAGAATTGTCATCTTTTTATTATGGGAATAATAATACTGTGGTAGACTTTTTTAAATTTCATTTTCAGGAGTGAAAGTTTGATAATTCAAGTCCTTTTCATGTGTGCATCGTGTGTATATTTTTTAATTTAAAGGTGCTTCTTTAAAAAATGGTAGTAATAATGTATATATAATTTTATGTAAGCAGAAAATAGAAATGCAATGATCTAATCTGAAATGTGCTAATTTTTCAGGAGAATATGCTTTGGCAGCAGATTTGTACAGAGAGGTTCTACGTTCCTCTGAAGAACATAAAGAGAAGCTCAAAACAGATTCATTGCAAGTATGTAACTAATTTGAGTTTTTTTTTGAAAGAGCGCATAGACTAGTACATGTGTTAAAAACCTAAACCTTTATGAATTAATTTATGAATAAACAAGTATGGGGCAATTATTACATCTCCATTTCATTTTGTTTTGCAATTGTGATTGATGCGGATGGATCTAAATAATACTGTTAAAGAACAAGGCATAAATGTCTTAAATAAATGCAGTTCTTTCTTTAGAACAAAGTGTACATATATAATATTCCACTTAGCATTCAATTACTTATTTTAGTTTAATTGGAGTGTGGTATTTTAAAAATCTTTATGGGTATTTTTGAAAGGATTGCACCAGTCTATTTGGAACAGGGTACTTTACAGGTTTTCAAGACTAGGGTCAGCCCTTTGACCATGCCAGGTCAGGAAACAGGTTCCATGAAAAAACGTCAGTATTCTGCTTTACTGATATACAGGTAATCCTTGACTTAGACTATTCATCCAGTGACTGTTCAAAGTTATAGCAATGGTGAATGAAGGGATTTACAACTGGTCCCTGAAGTTGCAGCTCCTGCAACATCCCTGCTGTTAGGAGGTGATTACTATCTGGACGATTGGCAACCCTTTTCAACTTACGACCAGTTGCCAAGCACCCCATGATCACGTTTGCTATTCGCAACTTTCTTTGCTGACTTCTCTAGGAAGTCATTGGGAAAGCCAGCAGGGAAGGTTACAAGTTGCTGAGGTAAATCTCCTCACCCTGCCCAGCTCCTCTGGGGCCCTTCTCAATTGCCCCTGCCGCCCTACACATCATAGACCTGCTGCCCCCAGCTAATCTGCACCATCTTCTGCTGACACAGTATGCCAGATTGGCATTATGCAAGGTAGCTGCTGGCCATGCCAGGCCTTCTCCCTGCTGGTGCCACTCTCCAGATTGCATGCGCTGTTCTACAAGTCACATGGCCATTTTTGCGACACCTGGAGAAGATGGCCACACTTGGCCAGCAGCTGCCTCACAGGGCCAGAACAGCCACACCTCATCAGTACTGAGAGCAAGAAGATGGTGATGGTCAGCTCAGGTGGCAGGGTCCCTGGTGTTCAGGGTGGCAAGGGTGACTGCAGCTAGGTCTGGGCTGGGGTGCTTCCTGTGATACAGCAGTTGTTGGAGCTTCTCAGGCTTTGCACTATGCTATGTTTCTGGGCCATGCTGCGGAAGCTTCCAGGGGCAGCTGCAGCTTCATGCTGTGCGGCAGCTCAGGGATTTTTTTAGCTCCAGTCATGGTATGCCACGAAGCACCGGAGCCATGTGCTTCTGGGGCTGCTTGCTACCCTGCAAGGCAGGATGCAGGGTGCTCAAAAGAATAGAGATGGGGGGCATAGGCAGTTAGAGTTGAAGGAGAGACAGTCTCTTACCTTGGAAGAACAAAGGCTTAGGGCTGGGAGGGTTCAAGTTTGGGGTGGCTTGATCCTTATCTAACGGCTAGTGAAATTTGCTGAATGATGTAGTGTGGAGTGCCAGGATTGCCATCACTAAGCAATGGGGTCATGTGATGTCACTTTATGGCAGCGTCACTTAGCAATGGAAATTCTAGTTCCAATTGTAATCATGGGTTAAGGACTACTTGTGTTCTTTCTCCAAGGTCATTTCTGTGGTTCTCCATGGTTACTGAATTGAGTTCAGAAATTTTCTAGAACAAATTATTGAATCAATTTGTGTGGTTGTATATCTCTATTTGTCATTGTCCCGGTGACTGATATATTTGTATACACGTGTTTGACAGCAATAATTTGAAATGATGGTTCTTTCATTTCAGCTTCTGAATGCTTTGAAAGCTTTTGAAAGAAATAATGTGTGTTTTCCAGTTATTGATTTACAGTATTTATATCGCTCCATACCACACATTTCCATTTTAAAAGCCTACTTTTTTTCCCCCTCTCCATTTCTTTGATGTGGCTATTGGCAGGGTTTGTGAAGGTCAAACACAGAATCTGGAGCAAAGAATGCCATGAATTCAAGGAGCCCACCGCTCCCACCTCCCAGCTCAAATTTTGCGCTTTTAGTACACTATTTAAATTCAGCAGTGAAAATGTTTTCATCTGTTCAGAAATACATGTTTTGGACAAAAGAGGCAAAGTTTGGCTTAGGGCAACCATTTTAAAACCTTTCATTCCTCTGTCTATAAAATCCCTTCAAATGAACAGAATTTTGCATTGCATCATCATCCATATTTCTTGCAACTCTCACAGACCTTTACTTTAAAAAAAAAAAAAGTTACATCATTGACCATACAAAATAACCATTCTGGTCAATTGCCCTGATCTGTAAATGTGTATATACAGTGCTGCACAACTAAAAGTAAGAAATTATGTTCTAAGTTTCCTTAGTGTGCAAATCTGTTACACATTAAACAGTTCCCTATTACAGTCTTCAAAATATAATTGGCTTCATGACAGGCATATATGTTACATTGACAGAGACTTCATTCTACGCACAATCTGATGGAACTTCTGACGGCAAATCATCCTGGGATACCACCCACTTTAAGAGATGGCAGACTTAAGGAAGAGGTACTTGTTCATTATATACATTTCAGGGTGTGTATGAAGGAATGCGAATTTTCAAAATAAAAATAGATAAGTTGTGTCTACAAACATAGAACATTTCTATATGGGACATTTCATGATAAAGTCTAGAGTAATAAATCTGTATTGCTTCCAGGGCTAGCAAAAAATTTTCACGGGGTTAGGAACATGGTGCTCCTGACAAAAACACCCATGTCAACCCCTAGCTTTTTATTATTGTTGATGTTTGCTTTCCAGTGCCATGAGGAAAAATGATTTTGAAGACTGGTGAAGAAGAAACAGTTTTAAGCCAGATTTCTCCGTCTGAAGTTAGATTGCCTCACTAACGTCAGAGGAAGAAATTAGAACTATACTGGGGCTATCTAATAGACATTGTGGTTGATACCATGAATAACTGACTCCTCTCTGCCCCAAAAACAATTTTTGTTGGGCCTGCTGGAGTTCAAATTATTCTGTTCCCCTTCTCAAAACATCTGTTAATTATACTTTGTTGTCTTTTATTGAAATCATTAATCAAACCAGGGTAATATTCTAGAATAACTTTGTTTAATTACAGTAATATATTACAGTAATATATCTAAGGAGTAACTGTATTTCTTTGTTAAAAGAGTTTCTGTTAAGGTTATATGACTACCTAATCTTTCATTTAAATGCAGTGCGAACAGCTCCGCCAGCATTACATGAGTAAATCAAACGCAGAAGTTGCTGAAGCTCATCAGGCTTTGCAGCCAGTTATACAGACAATTCATGAACTCCAGAGGAAAGTAAGAGATGGCTGCCATTATTTGATTTAACTTTTTAACTGCAGAGATATATATTTTTGCATCCTTTATTACAGGGCATCTTGAAATCAGGATGTGCATATGTTTTGAATGAGAAAAAAATTAGAAACATGCTCAGATAAGATGCCACATCCCATATAGGAGTTTCACACTCAAATAGTCGTATTCCAAATTCAGAATGGTTTAATTTGAAATGTTTTGCACAGCACAAATTGAGGTTTTGTTATAAGTTTAGTGAATTAAAAATATGGTTGTTTATTAAAGGCTGTTTATTAACAGCCTATCATTCAACAGCTAATTAGATTCTTTAGAAATGTTTAAGTAGTGGTCACATCTTATTTGTTTCCTTTATTAAGAAGACAAGGTACAAAAATATCTAGCTTAGAAATAATTCTAAGACTAATTTAGCCAAATTGTTAAAACACATATTGCCATCATGTAGTCGGATAACTTTAAAAATGTTTCCACATTAGAATTATCTGCTAGGACAGTAACTGTGTCTCCAAAGAATTCTTTATAAAAACATAATGCATTTATTATAGTTTCAACTATTGTCTGTCTTCCTAGGTTTCAGTTTAGTTTATGTATATGCTATTATTAGATGCTGCCTCTATACCAAACTGAGAACAGAACAGTACACACCGAGTGTAGTAATTCCTCCAGATTTAATATGATACAGACATCCAAATCACATACTAATCAATCAGAAGCTGATTGCCGTATTAGCTCCTTAACTTATATTTTGCATGAAGCTCAACCATAAGGTAATCTTGGAGCCTCAGCATGGAGTTAAAAATATGTGTATCTTTGATTCCTTATCTACCAGACCAGTTGTGAGGGTCAATACTTTGGATTATTCCTCTATACCCCAAATCAGAAGTTATCTTTACACTAAGGAAACTAAGGACATTTTATCATTTAAGAAAATGTGATATCATACTTACATTCTGCTTTTGCAATGAGCTCAGTTAGATGTTTTAGCCTAACTTCATAAAATTGACATGAGGTAAGACAGTACAGATGGTTGAGCTTCACAGCTCAGCGAGGACTTTGTCCATGCCTGCTGGTCAAAGTCTGACACTCTATTTCTCCATGCTAGAGAGAGCATTGTACAGCACTAGAAATGACAGATGTAGTTATGGAATGACTCATTGAATCATGGAGGCATTCATCTTTGGAAGCATTAGCAATGGATTATTCACAAGGCAATGTCTTTGAATGTGCTGTTTTTCAGTGATTAAAACCTATGCTTCACATAGATCTTGTATTTTTTTTTTCTTCAGTAACCACCTTAAGGTATCTGGAGCATTTACTTTTTTTTAAAGCATTTCATAGAGTAGGTGGTGATAGATAGGAATTTTGTAACTCGGTATTGATCCAATAGTAGGAAGTTGTTGTTATAGTCCTTTGTTCTACCAGGCATGCTAGGCACAAGAAAAAATACATTGTCAGACTATTTTTGAAAGGCAGCTTTGGTTATACATGGGCACATACCCTGCAAGATGGAAATATTAATAGCTATCAAAAATTGATACAGATAAACACATTGACAAACATATCTAGAGCTGGATTTTTCAGGTTGACTTAAAATTATTAAGGAAGTTGCTGAAGATTCCCTAGCATAATATTGCATTACATCAGAACTTGTTAAAACAATCTGGGCCTGTGTTATTGCATATCCATGTATGATGTTCTTATTTTTTAAGACATACTACTACTCAGTTTCTCTGCATAATGTATTTTTTTCTTTGATACTTGAAGAAGACATTTTTTTCTCATCATTAGTTTGAGCTCATAGTACTGTTAATGATACAGTCTGGTCCAGGAAAGCATGAGGGACATTTATTTATGGACACAATTTTTCTGCTATACCCCAGATACGCTCCAGTTCACCCTGGTGGTTGGATGTGATTCAGTCAGCAATACAGTACGCAATAGATGAGGAGCTTGTACAGCGAGTACAAAATGATCTAACCAGCAATTACAAACAGCAAATGAATAAGCTCTCTATGGCAGATAAGTAAGTCACAAATAGAAAAAATGTTGCTAAATTTCAACTGCTTCATTGCAGTTATAATGTTGTTTATGGGAGAACTCATGAACATTTGCAATAAGCTTTGCAATATTAAGTGGATCTGTATGGTTTTACATTCATGCTGAGCAATCTTGGCTAAATGTGGGAGAGACATAAGAAATTATCATGCTGGTTGTTAATGTGAAAATTGCATGAGCTGGCTTCTTCATGGTACCACAAGGCCCACTCTAACTGTTTAAGACTTCCAGTGGGTCTGTTCAGGGTAGTTTATCTGTTCAGGGTAGTTTACGTCATCTGTCCATAGCCAGTCAGAGGAATAGTGTTAAAATAATTTAAATTAAATGGAAATAACTTTCTGTCCTGGAACATAAAAACAAAGATGGCAACTATTATGGAGTTGGTGGATATAGCTTTTTTCATAGCACCTCTCTTGTAAATTGATCTGCATGCTCTCTATCTTCCCAACTTTCCTTTTTTTCTGCATAAATATGGGTGTGTGTGTGTGGTGTGTGTGTAAAACCATTTTATGTTCTGAAGGTATAATATGGAATCTACACATATCTAAGTGCATCCCTAAAAATAACTTATTCTGGAAGTTGCTATTTTGTTTAAAAATCTATGTGGTTTATTATGATACCACATTGGAAATAGCAGATTGCTACCAATGCCCATCCATTTCAGATACATGACCGAATAGATCCTCTCTGAAATAACATTCTAACCTGAATACTCATTTATTTCTTCCTAGATTTCGTGACTGCAGAGGACTGCAGTATCTTCTGACAACTCAAATGGAAGAAGTGAAGAAACTGCAGAAGCAAGTGAGAGAGGCTGTGAAAAATCTGGAAGGACCTCCTTCCAAAGCAGTTATTGAGGCTGCCACTATCTGCCATCTGCGGCCAGTAAGATTGCCACTAAACAAGTAGGTGTAAAAAATATTGGCCATGGCCCAAACAAGCAGAGATTTCATTCTGCTTTTCTTCTGTTTGTTGTGATAAAACTGTCATGACCTTGTAATTGGTGTTATTGCTTTATGACTTAACAAATTCTGGTTATTATACTGTGTTATGAATTTATTCAGTTAATTGCTTAATTAACATAACATACATAACCGATGTGCAGCTGACACAATACATACATTTTTATCTTATTCAATTTGTTTATATAGAAAAGCACAATTTTTATTAGTTGATTTCTTATTAAAACTTAAAGGGAATTGATTTTGTATATTTCTTTTGAAGAAGCTTCCTTACTTAGCAAGCACCTTTGTTTACTGATCTTTTTGTAAAATTTGTATTCCAGTTGCGTCTTTTGTAAAGCTGATGAATTGTTCACAGAATATGAATCAAAGCTGTTTTCCCACACGTAAGTATTGCTTTCTTTTTTTCATTACACTTAATGACAAAATCAAACATCCAAAAGTAATTACTAGTAAAATTTCTTAAAACACCTGTGTACTTTCTGAATTTTAGTGCTGCAAAAGAAGGATGCATTCTTTTCTTTAGGAGCTATTGTGCCCTTTATTCAGTGTGTACAGCTTAGATGAATTGCTTTCTGTCACTGAGCTCTTTGAAGAAGGAATTATATTTGGGTATGATGGGTTTGTTTTTTGAGATAATGAGATCACATCTCATGCCCTTGTGGCACCTCTTTCCAGTTAAGAAAGTGTATTTTGTTTTGTTTTGCCAATATCTTTGTTTTTATTAAGATGTATAGAATCTTCAGATACGATGACAGCTGTAATGTTTTTGCATTAAAGTGTAAAAGGCCAGATGGCGATCTTTGAAGAAATGATAGAAGATGAAGAAGGCCTGGTTGATGATCGTTTGCCTACCACCAGCAGAGGCCTCTGGGCAGCAAGTGAAACTGAGCGCTCCTTGAAAGCGATATTGTCTTTTGCTAAAGCTCATAGGCTAGATTCCAAGGGAATTGAAGAAGGCAACATCTTCTTGGAACTTTTTGAAGCATGGAAAAAGGAATATAAGGTATAACAAGAAGAAAAAAATCTCAGAAAAATCTTAATATAAAGAATAGTTGCTTGGTACCAGGCACGTGGACAATTCGAGCATAACCTGAAACTATATACCATTGTAAGACACAGATGATCTGTAGATGGTAGAAAAAAACATCGCCACATTTAGAGAGATAGATGGGTTCTTATCGAGAGTAGGTATGCTAAATAGAATAAATCTAGTGTCTAGCATAATTTGTTAATAGCAGGGGTATAAGGCAGAGGTGGTTGTCTATATATACTTGACTTTTAAAGTAATCCTATTGCTCATGCATCAACTTGCTTTATCCAGTAAGAAATAGTTGTTTGGAGTGTAAGGAATTTGAAACTGCTGGCATCAATCAGTATTAAAATTGGGAAACGATTTCTTCATTTTTGGTTGTTTGAAAATAAATAGGAGACTGACTTCCAAATATGTGTACAAATGTATCCATGACATGTGTACAGATATCTGTTTGATTTCCATGACACTATTTATTATTTAAATGTAATTTATATCCTAAATTCCCTGCATAACATAACAGTATCATTTGAGATTAAACATCAGGTAAAGTGTATTTCTTCCGGTAACACAATACCAAAAATTTCATTATGAAAAATTGAATGATTCAAAAAGTTCACTGACATAATATGAGTTATGTGCTATATATCTTTAAGTAAGATGTATATTGTTTCTAATTCATATTTACAAATGGGACATAATTGCTTGGATTACTTCTCTAGGAGGGGTTGTAATAATGCGAGTGTCCATGTATGTTAAGGAGATATGTGCATCTGAGTTTGTGTGTGTGTACATATACGCATACATATGCACATATATGAATATATTTAGGTAGAGATTACTGGTAGAGATTTTTTGCATAGTTTTATTGTTTTCCTGTGTTCTTTAGAGATGCAGTTGCTTGTCATATAATGCACACAGAGAGGGAAATCTAAGTTACTGCTCCCTATTCTATTTTCTGCCCCTGTTATTTTAGAATCTGTACAAATGTTGAGATACGTTTTGTTGAACACAACTTGAAGAAATTTTTTTTCCTGATCAAAATAATTAATCTTTCAGTTACTTCATGAATACTGGATGGTCTTAAGAGATCATGTCTCTGCCATTGATGAACTTGCTATGGCCACCGAACGCCTCAGAATGCGTCATCCAGAAGAGCCAAAACCCAATCACCCTGTTCTTCACATAATTGAACCACATGAGGTAACATAATCTGAAACTAAAAACTCCTAACATTCAACACAGCTACAAGTATACGTCAGTGATATTGAAGGTTCTGTTTCAGACCATTGCAATAAAGCAAGTAATGACTTTTTTGGCTTCCCATTATGTATCAAAATTACGTTTACACTATACTGTAGTCTATTAAGTGTGCATTAGCATTATGTCTATAAAAGCTTTATTGCTAAAAAATGCTAATCACCATCTCATCTTTCAGTGAGTCATAATCATTTTGCTGCTGAAGAGTCTTGTAAAAAAACACATCTGCAAAGTGGAATAAAATGAAATATGCCTGTATTTATTAATTTTTCTAACCAACTCTTGTATTATAATGTTGAAAGTCATAGGCTTTAGATTTGTTTGTATATAGCAGATAGGTTGCTCATTGGCCTTAATGGTTCTTCAAAGTTGTTTACAATAAAAACACCATAAAACAGTTCAAAATTAAATCAATTTTAAACTAGAACAGGAGGAGCAATAGTAAGACAATCAAACCATGTCATATAATGTATGTCATACACTTTTCTCTCCATTTGAACTTCCTGTTGCTGCAGTTGATGGTGGTTGAAAGACAGAATAGTTTTAAACAAAACAGATATTTGTTAATTAGCTGTAATGCTAGAGAAGTTTTTTCACAATGTAATAGGAGATTTTTGAAAATAAACTTTGTTTCTAGGTAGAACAAAATAGAGTGAAACTTTTGAATGACAAAGCGGTTGCCAAATCACAGCTCCAGAAGAAACTAGGTCAGCTACTCTACCTCAATAATTTGGAAAAGGTAAGATTGAACTTTCTTGGGCTTACATTATACTATTGCCTAATCCTTTGGAACATCCTTCCCCTGTCAGTGTGTCCAGATGCATTGGGTTTTATATTCAGTTAGTGTGATCCTATACAGTTTCTGGCCATAAACCAACCAAAGACCAATACAATGGGAATGCATGAGGGTAGGAGAAATTATTTTGAAGATAGGATTTTTTCTTGAGGCCTATTTCTTGGATTTTAAAATATTTAAATATAGTGTTTGCTAGCTATTTTTAAACAGCACGAAAGCATTGATTACAATTGTCAATTCACTAGGATCGTGCCAGTGAATTCCAGCCTGCCTGGAATTAGTAATAATAACTGCTACTAGGGGTTACCATCAAATATCCACATCTGCCTAGCACAGATCCTTGGGGGAAGGACTGGATAGATGAACAGAAATGCCAAATTTAATCTGAACATCTGCCTTACTGTGCATCAACCCCTAATTATAATTGTATATTACAGTTCAATATTTTATAAGTACCAGAATAAAATTAAAACATTAAATTAGAACAGAACAAGACATTATAGTGTATTGCAATTAACAGTGGACTTATTGACGGATGGCCAAAGTCTGCCTAATTTTTCAGACACTATAATAGCTATATTACAATTTAGCTATATTACAATTGAGTAATAAAATCCAGACACTAAGAAAAGATGCACATGTTTGGGTTTTATTTATTTTGTCAAATTTCAAGGCCATCTGACATCTTGATGGTTCTAGGCAGCTTCTATATAAAAGCAATATATGAGAACATATAAAAAAGAACATAAACGACAATAAGAACAGAACACCAACTATACAGTGGAAGAGGGCTCCACAATCAATGTGTGTCCAATTATCCCTTTTAACAATGTTCCAGAGAGCAGGTATTGCAACACAATAGGCATACTTCCAAGGTCCCATAAAGTGACATAGTTTAAGCGCATGCATCATGTTTGAGTATACCAGGTGGACAGAGATGAGATACATGATATTGGTTGTTGTTCAATAGACACTTGAATTAAGATGACTTTAAAAACACTTTATGATTGAACTCAAAGAGTTATAGTTTCATTTTCTTTAAATTACCTCTCATATCAGCTCTGAAACAAGGTCATCATGACTCAAGTGAAGTTGGCCAGTATATTTTTCATACTGTAATAGGCTTTCAAGCTGTACTCCTTTGAAATGTTTTCTATCATTTTGCATTTTCCATTCCATTTTTAGTTCTATTTATATCTCTTTGGATCCATCTATATTCTTTCATTTTTCTGAGAATTGTGTCATGTTTGATGATTATGAAATAAGAATATATTTGATTAATAAAAATGAATAATATTAACATCAAATTACTTAGATAATTATTTTAAATAGAACATAATTGATTCTTTTACTTTTACTGTAAAATGCTTTTCTTTAATGTTCACATAGTCTCAAGATAAAACAACTGGAGGAGTTAATCCAGAGCCCTGCCCAATTTGTGCACGACAATTGGGAAAACAGGTAAAATGATGCACCTTTTTAGTAGATAATTTTGTTCATTATTGGCATATGTGAAATAATTTTCTTTATCCAACAATACTTACAAATCTGTTGTTTTTCAAAACAATCCTATATGATTATAGTTCTATATTTATTTTTTTAAAGTATTCTGTTGGACCACGGAGTTGCAAAACAGAATGTGTATCCAAAATGTTGGATATTTATTTTTTAGTTATTAAACATATATGCCATGCATCTTGCTATCCAAAACAACTCTTGACACTTAAATAAAAAACTATAGTAATATAGAGTAAAAATAGAGATATAAAACAATTATCAATATAACAACAGATTAAAATTGCAAAATATTAAATGCAGACTAAATATCACGAATGTCATTAAATATCATGGAGCAATCAAAGAAATTCAGGTCTTAATTTCAGTTATTTGCAAGATTTCATTATTTTTAATGTGGTACTTAAATCTGAGTGAGAAATCTATCATTAGGCCCCTGAGCACCTGTTCAGGCTAGCTGGTTAATTTAAAAATTACATACATATGCATCTTTTCACTTTCTTTTTAAACAACTTAGTAGTCCTTTTCTTGTTGGTTTATATGAATAACAGATAAGTATTGTTAGGTATAACATTGATACCAAATATGGTTTGGGTGAATAAATATATAAAACTTAGATATCATGGTTTAAGTGCTTATCACTTTAAGCACAATGCAGCAGGCAATTAGCCGATTAAGGGTGCGGTTAGAAGTTACAATATAAGGAAGCATTAGAAGCTGGAAAGCTTACTGTAACTGTGTGCTGCTGCGACTGTAACTGTGTGCTACTGCGACTAACTGTGTCTTGCTGCGACTAACTGTGATTACTGACTGTGAGTGCCTGTGACTGAACTGTTATTGTTTGCTACTGTTTGCTGATTTACTGCGTAATTCTACTGAATATCCAGCGTTTGTTTCTCTGGAGAGTGAAACCGGAGGAGGAGAAGATATCTTTATCGGCTGATAAAGATATTGCAAGGACTCTTAACTTCGACTATACTAGTGAGTCTTACTGGATGGAAATACTGTGAATGACTTAATGGACTGAATGACAATGCTTAAACTCTAACTGGATTAAAAACTATTTAAACTACAAACAGTGTTTGTGTTCAGTGTGTGTATACTCTGGGGCCCTTCCTGGTTTGACTACTGCTGCAATACTCTTCTAGGGGTTAATCCCCAAACCCTAACATTGGTTATGGGCCCAGCAGCATAGTCTAACTAACCAGGATATAGCAGAGAGAGTTGGTGTGAGTTGCACATTACTGTAAAAACAAACTGTTTTAATTAGTTTAAAATAGTCAAAATATCTGAAGAGTAATGGCACAAGTAAATTTGTCACAACTGTCCATGATATCCAGGCTGGATGGAACAAACTATGTTTCATGGTCAATGAAATGTAGTTTACTTCTACGCAGAGAAGGTTTGTGGGACATTATAGCAAACCCACCAGATGTGAGTAGCTGGGATCCTGCTGATGATGATGATAACGAAAAGTTACAAGACTTTAAACTGAAGAATGAGCAGGCTTTATGCATCATAGGACTGACTCTCTGTGATCAGCAGCTTGTCCATATTCGTGGAGAAGAAAATGCTGCAAACTGCTGGGAGAACCTCAGGAAGATTTATGTTCGGGACAGTGTAGGAGCACATATAAATCTTACACGGAAGCTTTTTCGAACGCATCTTCAGAGGAATGGAGATATGTTAGTTCATTTAAACTGTATGAAGAGCATTTTTCAAGATTTGCAAGAAAAAGAGCTTATATTTAATGAACTGCAACAAGTCTACATAATATTATCTTCATTAGATCAAAGCTATGATGACTATGTGACTTCGTTAGAGGTATTGTCAAAAGAAAGCCTCTCATTAACCGACATAACAGGCAGGCTACTAGAAGAAGCCAGAAGAAGGCGTGAGCGTGACGAGCTGAGAGAAGATAAGAAAGAAGAGAAATTATCTTCAAAGCTTGAAAGAAACCAGCAAAGCAAAGTACAGCACCCGGAAGAAGAGAATTTATCTTCGACGGCATACACAATTAAAAAGTGTTTTAATTGTGGAGGCAGAGGACATTTGGCAAGATTCTGCAAAAAGAGAAAAAGCCAGAATGTAAAAAAGCCAAAGAAAGCATTTGAACTAGCCACGTTTAGCAACTCTGATGTGAAGAACAATCTATGGGTGGTTGACAGTGGCGCATCCCACTGCATCACAAGAGATAAGACAAAATTTATAAAAATGTCTACAAGTTCTCAACATATATCTCTTGCTAACGGCTGGAACCTGAAAGCGAAAGGTCAAGGTTTTGCACGTTGTCCGTACATAAACCAGGATATAAAAATGTTGTATGTACCGCAACTAAAGTTTAATTTGCTTTCAGTAAGGGTATTAGATAAATTAGGTTATGTAATTACTTTTAAAGATAATAATTGCATAATTGAAAAAGATAACAAAAGGGTAACTGCAGCTTTAAATGGAACATTATATGTCTTAGATAATAGTAAGAAAGGGGAGGCTCAAACTGTATTTAATAATATAAAGCCTCATGAAGAATGTATCCATTTATTGCATAGGCGTTTGGGGCATGTAAATTTTAAAATGCTAAAACGTACAGTTGAGTTATCTGAAGGAATAAGGTTAAAACCTTGTGATAAATATTTGCGATGTAATGTTTGCTGTGAAGATAAAAGCAAAGTATTGCCTGCAAATAGGCTAAATGGTTTCAAAACAAAAGAACCTTTAGAAGTAGTATTTGCAGACATAATAGGTCCAAAGAAACCCAGTATGGGGGGTGCTAGATATATACTGAGCATTATGGACCATTATTCTAGATATGGGTTTTGCTATTTAATGAAAAGCAAAACTGAAACATATCAACATTTTTTCAATTGGCTTAGGTTTGCTGAAAGAAAGTCTAAACGACAACTGATAACCCTGGTGACAGATAATGGTACGGAATTTATTAATAACAAATTCCAGAACAGACTTAAGGTAGCTGGAATAGAGCATAAGAAGTCTGCTCCATACAGGCCAGAACATAACGCTTTTATTGAAAGAAGAGGCCAAACACTACAGGCAATGGTTAGAACAATGTTAAATGATTCTGGGTTACCTGATTCTTTGTGGGGGGAGGCTACAATGTGTGCTAATAACATATTGAACAACGTTGTTAATACAACAACAGGTGAAATACCATTTACCAGATGGCATGGCAGGAAACCTGATCTAAGTTACCTGCACACATTTGGTGCACCAGCATGGGTGCATATTCCTGCACAACTCAGAAAAAAAGGGCAACATAGAGCTAAAAGATTTTTCTTCGTTGGTTATCAGGCAAACCATAGGGCATATAGATTTTGGGAGAAAGGCACATCTAAAGTGTTATGTAGTGCTAGTGCCCAATTTCTAGAACATGAAGGATGGGAGAAATTAGAACAGGATGCCAATAAAGATGTAATTATTGAATCCTATAGAAATCCCATTAGTTATCCCTGTAACTTTAAAAATAAAGTAAAGAGACAAATACAGGATGAAATAGTGCCCATAAAGGAAGAAACAGATTCAATAGCTGAACAGGATGAGGAAGATGAACAGGTAGTAGTTCAACAAAGTCCTCCTGTAAGCCCTGTAATTCCCAGAAGAACTACACGTGTATCTAGACCGCCTGATAGGTACCAGGCTAACACAGTGTGCCAGATTAATCAAGTTCCTAATTCTGTAGAAGAAATTAAAAAGTATCCTACTAAGGAAAAAGAAAGTTGGTATGCAGCAATGAATAAGGAACTGAATTCATTAAGTGATATGAAGGTGTATGAAAATGCCAAATTACCTGTAGGAAAGAAATCCATTGGCTGCAAATGGATATTTAAGGTAAAAATAGATAAAGATGGTAATTTAATCCATAAGGCAAGGTTAGTAGCCCAAGGTTTTAGGCAGAATGCTAATGACTATGATGAGGTGTTTGCACCTAGTCTTAAGGCAGCAACCTTGAGGGCAGCTTTAGTGTGGGCAGCTAGTAAAAACTATATAGTTAACCATCTAGATGTGGAAACTGCTTACTTGCACGCCCCATTAAAACATATTATTTATATGAAAAAACCTGTTGGTATTAAAAGTGAAAATAAGAATAATAATGATTGTTGGTTGTTAAAGAAAAGCCTCTATGGTCTAAAACAATCAGGCTATGAATGGAACCAGTATATTGTAAAGGAACTAGACAATATAGGATTTAAAGCTGGTTTAGCCGATCCATGTCTGTTTAAGAGGGAGACAAATGGAAAAGTATCATTATTATTACTATTCACAGATGACATTGCATTGATTACTGAAACTAATGATGAAGCAAATAAAATAATAGCATCATTAGGAAAGAGAATAAAGATCAAGCAATTAGGGGAGATAAAGAAGTATCTCGGTTTGAATATAAAGAAAACAAGGAAAGGTTTTAAGATATCTCAGGAAGATAAGATAAGCAAATTGCTAAAAGATTACAAGATGGAGCTTTGTAAGCCAGCTAAGACTCCAATGAGTCAGGAGTTTAGCAACACTGATGAACAAAGCCCTGAGTTTGATAAGGTGATTTATCAATCTTTAATTGGTAGTTTGAGTTATATTAGTAATTGGTCTAGACCAGATATATCGTACTGCGTGAATCAGTTGGCTAGATTCAATTCTGCACCATGTGAAAGACACTGGATTGCAGCTAAGAGGATATTAAGATATCTTAAAAAGACAATGAATTATTCATTGTATTTAGAACCAAAGGGTGATTTAATTCTGAGTGCTTATGCAGATGCTAGCTTTGCATCAGAAAGAGACACTAGAAAGTCGACTTCAGGAACAGCCATAATGCTGGGTAAGACATTAATAGGCTGGAAGTCAATAAGACAACAGCATATAAGTTTGTCTACTATGGAGGCAGAATTCTCCTGTTTATCACTGTTATGTACAGAATTAATAATGTATAAACA